AAAGTTGTATCAATTCCTCTTGTCTGGAAGCTTGAGCATTTCCTAGTTTTTTTTTCAAGGTTCCCAAGTTTTCACCATATCAGTGCACTCCACACATCACTATTGTTATTTTCTATCACTCATAGTCATCATCCATTCATTTTATTACTTTCTCCACCATAATTTCATACTTGATATAGTTGCCCACTCATTTTTCAACCACTTTTCATACCATACATACATGATCTTGGGGATCCCATTACTCTTCAGCATCAGTAAACATGGCAGATGAATCAAGAATCAGCAAAATCCAACATACCAAACTCAAGACATGATGCAAACTCTCATAACACAGCAATTCTGAGTAAACCTAGAACACTTAGCAGTTGGTTTTTGAGAGCCAATTGCACAAGAGACCAGGCATTACCATGGGCAGATGTTTATTTCCAATCTTGATGATTTCTTCTAGCACAAATAGTGATCTATGCATGCACCAGCATAGATTATGAGTTTTTTCTTCTTCTACTACTAGCATACAAGCTGTTGACCACTTTGATGGTTATGAGAGGCTAAAAAATCCCCTCCACTACCATTACATTATAATTGGACTTCATATTCACCCACAATCCATTCTTTCAGCCACCACCTTCCTTCACTTCAGCAATTACTATCCTCAAGCAACACATTCATTCTACCACTCCATGTCCTTGGAACTTTATGTACGACCAAGTGCGCTGGAGGAACTTTCTAAAGGTAAAGGGACCTTGAGGTGGAATTCCAAATAAGTGATTCTCCTTGACTTGGTTTCATGTTTTTTTATTGTTCTTTTTCTCTTTTGTTTTATTTTCCACTTTTTCTACTTCATTTTGGATCAAATGTCAAATTTCCACTTCAAGTTTTTCCCCTCATGATTTTCCCTTGAATCCAGAACTTTTGATTTCCTCCTTTTCTCTTTTCTTTTATGGTTCCTCCACTTTTTGTCACAGCAGTGCCAACATACTATATCACCTTGTAGTAGTTGTGGGTTTCTCACACACAACAGAGTTTGACACAATTCCCCATGGTCAATGGTCACCTATACATAACATTTAAATGAGATTCCCTGAAATATTTCACTATCAAGAGATTTAGATTCTTCCTCCTCTCCACTTTTAGGGTAGGGAGTTCATGAATGAGATTTTGGAGCTACACTTAAAAGTGTTTCTCCCCATGTTGAGGGGCTTCCCCCTCAACACTAGAACCACTTTGGATGACGAGAGGACTTCCAGCTGATAATTGCATTGTTGTGGCAAGGCTATAGTAAGCCAATTATGCTGCCTTGACATGATCCTTCACTCCCTCTTCCTTGTGCCCCTTCGATGGAGAGCATAGCCCAAGTAGGTTTACATGTTAGTCATTGTAGAAACAGATTCTCGAAACCAGGTTTAGAAAAAACCATAACCTGCATTTTAGAGAGGTTCTTGCCTACATGATGCACCAACGTGTTGAAGAGTTACTGCATAATGGTGGCATCTAGAGCTGGCAGCAAAAGATCATTGACATGGAGGAGAAGAAAGAGATACATCCCAGAGAGTTGATACAGGTTTTCTCCTTGTATCATTGTTTCCAGTGTGTAAATAGCTAATAACTTTGGGCAACCTTGTTGCACTTTTAGCGACTGTATTCCACCAGCACCAGTGGAGTAGGTGCCTCCAATTCTGGGAGTGGTGTGATTCCATAATTTGACTGCACTCTGAGGCATTTCTGCTAATACTCCACATGATGCCTCAGCTGAGAAGGAAGTCATCCCATTGTGGTCACCAACTTTGCTGCACACTCAAAATCCCATTGAAAACTCTGTCTCTCATTGGAAAAGGCCATTGGAAAATAATAATGAGTCTGGAATAATCTGATATTTGGGATATCTCTGGAATCATAGTACATCACACTCCCTACTGGCAGCAGAGGGGCTTAGGGAGAGCTGGAATGCACATAAAATGGCCCTACTCTTTCTTGGTATGACAACTTAAACAGCATCACCATGTCATGCTTGCTCCAATTTCACTTGATGAAGGCAAGGTAGGAGTCCAACACCTTGGATGTGGTTTTGTGTGGTATGCGCCCGGTATGTGGGTGCTAGTGTGTCTGTTCCAACCAGCGTCAAGGTTGGTTGGCCACACTGTTCCAACCAGCATCGTAGCCAAAGGCGTGGGAAGTAACTACATGCATTTGATGGTTAATGGCGCATTGCAGCACGAAAACCTTGTAAGGTGGTGTTCATTGACTGTGGTCTTGAGGGACAACATGCGGATGATCTGCCTCATGAGCTTGGGATGACAGTGGACAAAGACTGGGAAAGTTGTGTGATAGATTGCAAAATTATCAAATATCTATCATTAATGGACAAGATTACTATTTACATAGTTTATACTGTGTGGCTAGATCTTTGCCACAGTGTTTGGGCATAAGGATCAATGGGATACTTGGCACTGACTGCTCCTCATTTTGCTCCTCCTCTTTGTGCTCCTCGTTTTGCTCCTCCTTTTTTTCAGCATGCAATCTGTCAAGCTCCTTGAGGAGTTCGGGATCCTCATCCAGGTCCTCGTTGCTAGAACTTTCACTCTTGCTCTCTTCGCTCTTGTTCCAGAGCGTCACACACCTAGTCCAAATTCATGGCGTTTTCAACTCTAACCTCTTTTTGCTCCCTTGATCCCTTTGAAAAAGGCCCCACCCATCGCACATGAGCAGCTAACCAGGCTTGTCCGCCTTTTACCGTGGTGCCATGCTACAAACCTTATATAAGGTAGTCTAAACCCTACTTATTATAAACTGGTGGCGAATAAAGTGACAGAATATCCGTTAGTGCCACAAGTCAGTTGGCAGAATATACGCGTTTCGTTTCTCCAATCGGGAATTTAGGGCTTCTCCCTCTCTCGAGTGAGTGGAATGTGATGTTGGAGAAGGAGCTGCTCAACCAGCTGATCGGCGTGGTGTATGACACGCTGGGTGGGATCCAAATGTCCGGCAGGCACTCGTCCGCGAATTTCACTACCGCGGTTGTGGTGGGCGTGGCGGTCACCGCCGTCGCCGGGGTCGCGGTCGCCGTTGCGGTTGGGGGCACTGGATTCTTGAGCGATCGGTAAGCTTTCCTAACAATCCCACCCCCTCTTCTCGCGAATTTGAGGCAAAATTTCCATCGATCGATGCCTAGAGAATGGAATGGAACTGGATGAATGAATTTCCTGCGATTGCTTTCCTTGTTCCTGGAGCTCTTTGCTGCCTTCGTTCCCACAGATGTGTGGAGATGTGGCGGTGTTGAGACCACTGGACATGGGGCAAGGCAATGCTCACAGAAGAAACCAAGCTTATTGCAAGCCTTACTATTTCTCCTCCAAGAGGTAGTAGTAGCTTCCCCTCCCTCGAATTTTTTCGTCTTGCTTTCTTGTGTGTTTATTTCTTCTCTAAGCGGCTGGCCATCTTTTTGATCCTTTTGTCGGTTTCTTTCTTTCTTCCAGGGGGCCGTTTCGAAAGCGATGGAGGCGACGGCGGCATCACCCCCTCACCCAGCAGCAATGGGAGGATTTCTTCGGGGATGAAGGCCGCCTCTCGAATAACAGCACCGAAAAGCTCATTCACAAAGTTCGCTGGGGGGTGAGTTCTTTCTTCTTTTTTTACCAGTTTTTCCAGTGTTTAGAGTTGTCTCAAGGAAGAACTGTGATGTGCGTCGTGACAGGGCATAGAGCCAGGAATTCGAGCTCAAGTGTGGCCATTTCTGCTTGGAATGTAAGTGTGTTACAAATCCTTTCATACGTTCAAAGTTTCGAAGTTTTTCATACCTTCCATCAGATACGAGATTGATAGCACCGAGGCAGAAAGAAAGGAGCAAGATGCTAAGCTAAGGTAACGAGCAAGTTTCCGAAGATCCCATACGCAAAAAAACTAAACTTTCCTTGGAAACTCGCCTGCAGGAAGGAATACGAAAAGATACGAAGCTACTGCCAAGAAATCAAGCAATCACTCACGTCCAGAAGAGAAGGAGAGCATCAACAAGATGGCATGGAAGAACAAGAAGAAGAAGAACACAAACTCATGCCATTCTCCGAGAGCCAGATCGAAGCATTCAGCAGCATCAACGACGGCAGCGCGTTCTGGAAGAAAGGACCCAAGGCATTGGACGACATAGTCACCTGGCAAAGGATCATCCGCCTGGACGCCGTCCGGATGAACGCCGAGTGGGTTCCATACTCTCCGTCCCAGGCAAACGTGAGCGACGAGGAGACGTCCAAAGTAGCCCGCAAGGCCGGCCTGTCCGACGACGAGCACCTGGAAACTTGCCGCCGCTACCACGCCGCCAGGCTCGTCTCCATCCTCGAGGCCTATGCGCTCTACGATCCGGACACGGGCTACTGCCAGGGGATGAGTGACTTGCTGTCGCCGTTCGTCGCGCTCATGGACGACGACCACCAGGCCTTCTGGTGCTTCGTGAGCTTCATGAGGACCGCGCGGCACAACTTCCGGCTGGACGAGGTTGGCATCCGGCGGCAGCTAAACGGGACCTCGGACATCATCAGGGTGGCAGACCCGGAGCTGTACGACCACCTGGTGAAGATCAAGGCCGAGGACTGCACCTTCGTGTACCGGATGGTGGTGGTGCTGTTCCGGAGGGAGCTGACGTTCGAGCAGACGATATGCCTGTGGGAGGTGATATGGGCGGACTCAACGGCGATGAGGACGGGCAAGGGAGTGGGAGAGGCCCAGAAGAAGAAGAAGGCTCCCCCGACTAACGACTTGCTGCTCTACACCATAGCGGCGGCGGTGTGCCGGAGGAGGAAGTTCATCATGGAGAACTGCAAAGGGATGGACGAGCTGCTGCGGGAGTGCAATGCCATGGCAGGGACCTTGGACGTGTGGCAAATGCTGGACGACGCTCGGGAGCTTGTGAGTCGAGTGCACGGGAGAAGGCCAGAGACGCCTACATGAGAAACGAATCCTGGTTTAGAGATAGTAACTGACGTTTACCTCGGGATAAGAGTCGGGCGGGCTTGAGCAAAGAGCCTGCGGCTTTTATTTTTCTTCTCACAATCGTACAGCGCAGTGATCAAAGGTAGTATGCCCAAGAATGAAAAACGAGAGATTAAAGCATCAAGATACCTTCTTTACGTACACCTCGGTCGCCGAAACGAGCCGGTTCCTGTCGACGTACAGCTTAGCTATCCATCCGGCCAGGAAAATTCCCAGCAAAGCAGCAGTGCTGGACCAAAAGATGACGATCCACTTTGGCATTGGCTTGGGATAGAGACCTGGACGGAGAAAGAACGCGCTCATTGCTGTTTTCGTCGTCGAAGATGAATAAAGGATGCTTACCTTGGCCGAACTTGACACAAATGAGTACCTCGACAATGCAATTTGCAAGTGATAGCCAGCAAAATGCGCCAATCTTTTTCATTGGTTTTCTGAAAAAGAAAAAAACACACCACGAGAAGTAAATCAGGAGAAAAGCGGTGAAACTGGAGTACCTGTCCTGAAGGAATGAATTGTACTCCCGGATGGCTGGATTGGCTATAAGCCACCACAAGATGAGCCTGTACGAGTTTAGCGGGTTGCGTGGAGGCACCCACAGGCAAAACTTGAGGAAGAACGCATTGAGCTCCACGGTGAGGACAATGACAACAAGCCCAAGCACTTGGACAAAACGTAACGGGCCAGAGAGAGGATTCCATTCGTCTTTGTCCCAGTTTGCTGGAGTGAATTGACTTAGTGAGCGTCTCACCTGAAAAAGTTATGAATGTTTATATGTTTAGATCTCCGATGTTTCACTTCTCACCTTCCCCATTATGGTTGGCTGACGACTCAATCCAACCCACTCGTAAGTTTTTCCATCAAAGTACCGGACGGTTTTCATGCCAGACCAGATCCCTGTGACTCACAGAATTAAAACCAGACATTTTCATACAAAGGAGAATTACGTACCAAACCAGTTGCAAATAAGAACGTCGAGAATGATACTGTCCCACCAACATTCATTGAAGTTCGGTAGCATATGGTTAAACGTCACCTGAAAGAAAATGTTCCAAGGTTTTTGGCAACGCTACTCTTTTAGATATTTACCTCCATCATCTCGAAGCCGATAGAAAGCATCCACAAAATTGGAAGACTACGTAGCATGATAGCTTTTGCCCACCATCCCAGGACATGAGCAATAACAAATTCATCAAACAGAGTATCCTGGAAAACAAACAGACACACAGAAATTAGTGTTCAGCTTCACGATAGTTATGACATTCATACATAGACATTCTTAAACTTGTTGGGATCCTCGGGTGTGTAGATTCGGCAGTCTCCTCCATATGACCTTTCGGGAAGCTCTGAAAGAACAAAAGAAAAAAGAAAAAAGAAAAAAAGTAAGACAACTTCCAGCTACACGAGCAAAGAAAAGACTTGCCAATTCCGAGATCCGGATGAATATATTTCATAAATTGCCTTGCATCGTCTCTTTTCTGCAGAAAGAGCAAACAATTCAGCGGAATAAAAACTGAAAGGAAGAAGTGTCAAATACCTGGAACAAAAGGAAGGTGAGGAACACTAGATAAACCACTGCGACGCCATGGATCATTCTCCAAAACGCAGGATGCGGTCGTATCAAGATCCTGTGAAGTGATAAAAGACGAAGAAAGAAGAATGAAATCGCAGCACTGAAAATGCTTACGTGGGAGGAGCTTGGAGTAAGCAATATCCTAAGAACACGGCGATCATGGCCCATACTCCTCTAGAAAAATTGGAACTCGATCAATCCACTTCAACCAAAAGAAAGAATGAAGGAAACGAAAGAGCTTACCTCGTACCATTGACAGCGGCATTCTCGTCGGAGATCTCCGGTTGAAGCGCACCGCTGGCCCATCTACAAGAAAAAATTTCCAGAAAAACGAGTATGATCGTAGCAGCTGCGGCGATTCTTTCTTACATGAGAGCGCAAACGCCGGCAATGAGCACGGAGATCGTGCGTGGATGATACGCCCAGGCCGTCCAGGGATCCAAATCGCTCACTACAACAACCGGAGGAGGATCATCCAGCACCAAATCCGATCTCCCGCGCTGCTGGCGATGCTTCTTCCGGTGCTCCAGGGCAGAAATCAACAGAGCGCCATCGCTGCTCGCCACGGCGCCATCGCTACTCGCCATCTGGCAGGAACAAGTGAAATATTTTTAGGGCTCTTCAAGGCATTTGGAGATATCCCAATGCGGGATTCCTTGATCCGCTAGAAGAGAATCGATCGATGGGAGGATCGTCGAGGAAGGTCTTGCGCCTGCTAGCGCGGATCAAACAGGATGGATTCCTCACACCAGATGAGCTCCAGGCCGCGGCCGCTGCCAAGGCGAAGATCTCGCGCTCACAGGCGCTGCGAAATTACGAGGAGCTCCGCGAGCAAGGGAAATCGCCCAGTGCCTGGGATGTCTCCGCGGCGCTGATGGCGTGCGGGAGCTATAGGGATCTGGAAACCGGCCAGAGGATCCACGCAGAGATTGGAGTGGCGAACGATCCCAAGAACACCATCGCGGCATCGCTGGTGGCGATGTACGCGAAATGCGGCAAGATGGGCGAGGCGCAGCGGCTGTTCGATTTGATGGGCGCGAGGAAGAAGCCGCTTCTGGCGTGGAACGCCATCGTCCTGGGCTATGTTCGCGCCGGGAGGAGCGATCGAGCTCTGGAGATCTTCCATTCGATGCAAATGGAGGGCGTGAGGCCGGACGAGAGGAGCTTCTTGGCCGCTATCGGGGCTTGCGCGTCGCTGGCGGTGGATCCAGGCGCGGATCAAGAAGAAAAGAAAAACATTTCGGATCGAGTGAGAAGAATCCACGGTCTCCTGGAGAAGAAACTCATGAACACGCGAGCTTGCTCGATCGTGACGGCAGCACTGGTGGATGCGTACACGAAGTGTGGGAGCATCGAGGAGGCGAGAGTAGTGTTCGAGACAATGCCCAAGAGAGATGATCTAGGGTTTTATGTGAGAGAGCTATAAACCCTAAAATTAACCTTTTACATAGTTATAGACCCTAATACTCAAAAAGGCGATGGCAAATTGTGGAGGAAATGCTAACCATTGAGCTTATCAACCAATGCAGCCATCTTGCTCAAGCAAGGAGACTCCACCAAGCAATCTTGCAAAACGAGCACAGTGATAACGTATTCGTCTTGAATCTTCTCATCCAAATGTATGGCAAATGCGGCAGCCTAGAAGATGCTCATCTCGTCTTTGACAGCATCGGGCAGAGAAAACAGAATCTCTTTTCATGGAACATTCTCGTCCAGGCATATGCCCACAACGGGCATCCAAAAGCCGCTCAAGGAATATTCGATAGCATGCCCATGAGGGACTTGGTATCTTGGACAGCGCTGCTAGGAGCATATTCTCAGGCAGGGAATGTAAGAGATGCCCACTGTATACTAGACCAGATGCCCGAATGGGACACTGTCTCTTGGAACGCAATGCTCACGGCATATTCCCAAATTGGGCATCTGGACAAAGCTGGGGGCTTGTTCCAAGCCATGCCCGAGAAGAATTTAGTCTCCTGGAATGTGTTGCTCTTGGCATATGCCCAATCACGGAATATTTCTGAGTTGCTCGCTGTGTTTTCAAAGATGCCACAGAGGAATGTGGTATCATGGAATATATTCCTAGAGGCACATGCAGAGGACGTAGGATCAGGTAAACGAATCTTCGATGGAATGCCGCAATGGGATCTGGTGACATGGACAACTATGGTCCGGGCGTATTCCAGTGCTGGGCATATGCGGGAATCCCAAATCGTGTTTGATAGCATGCCTGTACAGGACATAATCGTATGGAACGCTCTTGTGGCTGGATATGCCCAAAACGGGCATATTCTTCAAGCAAAGGAGTGTTTTGATAAAATGCCCAAATGGAATACTATGTCATGGAACATTATCATAGCAATGTATGCCCAAAACAGTCTCACCGACAAAGCAAAGCAAATGTTTCGAAACTTGGCTTACCGAAGCATCATGACCTGGAACATCATGATCGTGGCTTACACGCAGCAAGGATTGATCGATCAAGCAAAGCTCATCTTCGATCAAATGCCAATCCACGACGTAGTTTCCTGCAATACTTTGATAGCAGCCTTCGTCCATGACGAAGCTCGAGCGTTGCAAGTCTTTGAAACGATGGAGCAAAAGGATATAGTAACTTGGACGTCGATTCTCCAAGTTTTTCTCAGCGAGGATGGCAGCGGCCTGGAGCGAGCAAAGCTCGTCTTTGACACCATGATGCCCGAGTGGAACGCCATCGCCTGGACCTTGATGGTCTCTGCGTGTGGAAACCGAGGACGTCTCGAGGAAGCCCGATGGATCGTAGAGACCGCCCCCGAGAGAGATATCCGGCTCTGGAACTCAATGCTTTCCGCCTATTCCCAGTGCCACCACCTCCAAGAAACTCTCGAAACTTTCTCGAGAATGCCGCAGCGAGACGTTGTGTCCTGGAACTCGGTGATGGCGGCGTATGCCCAAGACGGTCATATCAGCGCTGCGAGGAAGATACTGGAGAGGATGCCCGAAAGGAACGTCGTTTCCTGGGATACCATGGTAGCAGCCTATGCCCAGAGAGGTGACACCGATCGATCGCTGCAAGCTTTCCTCTCCCTGCTGCTCGAGGGACTCCAGCCCGACGAGATGACTTTCCGGAGCGTTCTCACGGCGTGTAGCTACGTTGGAAGCCTGGAGGAGAGCTTAAGCCGCTTCCACTCGATGAGTAGCGACTTTGGTCTGGCACCTCGGCGCGAGCACTGCTCCTGCATTGTCGATCTTCTCGGGCGAGTGGGGCAGCTCCAGGACGCCGAGGAGTTCGTCACCAGTCCAGATTCTTCGCCGGCTAGCTCGGCTTCCTGGGGAGCGCTGCTGGGAGCCTGTAAGATTCATTCGGACCCCGAGAGAGGAGCACGAGCAATAACGCATTTCACCAAGCTGGATCCCGAAAACTCTGCTCCATACTTGCTACTGGCAAGCACACTAGAATCGTAGCACGCTATGCGTCGGTGACTTAAAAGACCTTTTCCACACGAAAAAGAAAAACCATTAGCACTGTGGAGTGGACGATCGCGCAAAGAAGTCTCACCTTGGGCGAACTATGTAGGAGGCCAACGCAGGAACTTTAGTCCTCTCAAGCTCGAAGGCATGTAGTCCTGCTCCACAGGACCACTGTGAGACGGAGGATAAATGTAGCCCTTCGCGTATCCAAGATCTTTCATGAGTTTGGTCGGAGCATTCCTGAGATGGAGTGGAACCGGCTCGTTCTGGCCCTTCTCACGCACGTACTGCTGTGCTGCTTGGATCGCTTGGTAGACCGCCACGGACTTTGGAGCCAAGGCCAGATAAACCACGCACTGCGCGAGATGGACGTTGCACTCGGGCATTCCCAGGAAGTGGCAAGCTTGATAGCACGCAATGGCCTGTGGTAGCGCCTGTGGATCGGCCAAGCCAACGTCCTCGCTCGCGAATCTGACCAGCCTTCGTGCGACGTAGAGCGGGCCTTCGCCACCTTCCAGCATCCGTGCAAGCCAGTAAATAGAAGCATCAGCGTCGCCTCCTCTCATCGACTTGTGGAGAGCACTGATGATGTTGTAGTGCTCCTCGCCGGTCTTGTCATAGAAGACGTGGGAGCGTTGCAGTGCGTCCTTAACATCTGCTAGCGTGACCACCATCACTGACTTGTCGATCTCTGTTTCTAGCGTCGCAACTCGTCTATCCAACACTTCTCTGTCCATGCTTGTTCCATCGGCCTCTTTGTCAGCTTCTATCACTGTTGCTGCTGACGCTACGAATGCCACTCCGGCAGCGGCAGTCACGTTCTTCCCACCAACAAATTTCTTGAAAGGCTTTGTGTACTCTTGCTGCGAGTGCTGGACGTTCTCCTTTAGAACTTCCAGGATGTTGAAAGAATCTCGCTTCATGATCTTTTCCACTCCACTGGGCTCTTTCCTCAAAGTTCCAGTCCTGTTATCCCACTCGCCAGGAGCAGCATTGCCAGTAGCAGCATCACGTCTAGAAGGCGACGGAGTGTTGTCCATCTTCGCAGCTGGAAGAACACTCTCCAAGGCGGCTTCGCCACTCTGGAACCTGGAGCTCGCTGCTAGAACGGCTATCTCCAGAGTGTTGAGTGCTGCCCGAGCGTCTCCATCGGCTGCCGCCGCTAGAAAAACCACGGCATCGTCTTCCACGCGCAGCATCTCTGGCGAGCTGATGCCAGCGGAGACTATAACACCTTTCTCCTTGTCCAAGACAGCCCGCTTGATAAGTTTCTCCAGATGCTCGGGAAGAAGCTTGTTCATTGTGAGAACTTTGCACCTCGAAAGCAGTGCCGCATTGATCTCGAAGGACGGGTTCTCAGTCGTGGCTCCCACGAAGACAACATGCCCAGCTTCCACGTATGGAAGAAACGCATCTTGCTGAGCTTTGTTGAACCTGTGAACCTCGTCCAGGAAGAGCAAAGTTCGCTGCCCATACTTCTTGGCCTTCTTGGCCTCCTCTAAAACCTCCCGGACCTCTTTCACCCCGCTCGTCACCGCCGAGAGCGCCACAAACCGGTAAGAAACCGTCGACGCAATCGCCCGAGCAAGCGTCGTCTTCCCTGTTCCTGGAGGACCCCAGAAAATCACCGAAGCCAGTGAATCGCCCTCCAAGAGGCTCTTCAAGATGCCTCGAGGCCCAAGAAGATGATCCTGCCCGAGTATGTCGTTCACACTCGTCGGCCTCATCCTCTCCGCAAGAGGAACCGCGGCCTTGGAGTTTTTCTTCGCCACCTTTGTCGAAAGAAACGGGAAAGATTTCTGCTGAGGAGGCGGCGGCGATGGCTGCTGTTCTTCGTCTTGCTTTAGCTTCTTCGCCGGAGGCTCCACCAGAGCTGGCTGCTTCTGGACCTTCGCTACGCCACCTCCAACATCCGCATCCGCGCTCTCGAAAACTCTATCAGTGATCGTCAGAACTGTCCGCGTGGTAGTAGTAGCCTCGTCGTCCTTGCTCTTGAAAAAACTGTTCTTGCGAGTCACAATCTTCTTCTGCGATGGAGCCTCCTTCCCTCCATTCTCTCCATCCGTGATGGCGACGAGAGCTTTCGAAGTGCTGGCCGCGAAGAACTGATCCACTCGTCCCTGGTGCTGCTGCCGCGAGGGAGTAGTAGTAGCAACACCGGCATTCCCAGCGCCGACGATCCCATCCGACTTCCTCTGGTTGAGAATCCACTCCGTGGCCTTGTACGTCGACTTCCCCCCGGTGGCCGCCAGCGCCTGCGCCGCGAGCTCACGGCTAAACCCCATGTCAGTCAGGTAATCCATGGCGCCAGCGCCCGATCACGTCCGCGCCCTAGCCTAGATTCTCGATCGCTCAGCTCAATCCATACCGCATTTCCGCTCGCGCGCCGCGCGATCTCAATCCCTCCCACGCTTGGCTTGCCCGGACCTAATAAGCGATTGTCCCGTCCGTACAGACACGTCAGCGATAATAATTTCTTGCCAGTAGTGGCTGGGCGATTTCTTCCTTTCGCTGTCGCCCTGTCCAAAATGTATAGTGGATTGGATTTATAGACAAAGATCGATAAATCGATCCTCTCGCGAAAATTATTGACACATTCTTTGTAATGCCACAGCTAAAGTTTCTACGGGTAGAACTATAAAACGTTTGTTCTTTCCTCCAGCGCGAGCGAGCGAGCGAGCGAGAGAGATCTTCTTCCACCGACACGTTGAATGGAGAAAAAAACTCTCTCTCTCTCTCTCCTTTTTCTCTTTACTCCTGTTTGTCCTCCTCTGTATCGTCCAGGCCAAACTTCTTCTCCTTGTCTGGCTTGAGAACAGCCTTTTCGATGTCAAACGAGTTTTTTAGTGTCCCCGTAGTCAGGCCGACAGCTTCGTCCTCGTCAAACTTCTCGGTGGATTCGTCCGAGTATGCGTAGCTGCGAAAGCACGGAAGTGTCAATTCGATTTCAATTTGGGAGTTTGTTTTTTGTCTTGATGATTTCATACCGCATTGAGTTTTGTGATGGAGCCCAGAGGACGCAAAGTACGCAGAGCAGGAGGAACGAGACGACGTTCCAAAACGCCGAGATGACCCACGCGTTTTGCCAGTTCTCGCCGAATGGATCGGAAGCCTTGAAGTACAACTGCATTGTAAGAATGATTGTGAGTTTGTTTCCAAACAGAACAAGGATGTAAAACAAAGGAAAGAGAAAAACTAGCCTCGTAGCCAATCCATGCGACGGAGGCTATCACCGCCAATGTTAATGAGTTCGTGAAGCGTCTGTAGAGCTCCAGCTTGACAACGAGCTTCCTCGCCTAGATTGACAGCAGAGATTGTCAAAGGATGAAAGAACAGCAGCTTTGTTCTTACCTGAAGCTTCTCCAAAGTTTTTGAGAGCGAGTTGAAGATCCATAGGATGAAGAACGCGTCCAGTATTGCCACAGGCAGAACCAGCAGCAGCCTTGTCTTATTTGACATCTCGTCAATCCTCCCGACATGTTCGACCACGTCCATAGTCTCCAAGGCTGCGAAGTAAGTCGTGCCGAGGAGCAGAACCTTGGAAGTAAGACCACCTAGCGTTGGACGCACCACACCGTATCCCATCGAAACAACCAGCACCAAAAGCCGAGCGATGGTCTTCTTGAGTGCACCGATTGTCACAGCCCATATAGTTATACCCATGGGCCTGCCTCCTCGGATGTTAAAGTTGGCGTAGTCGAAGTACCAGAAGGACATCTCGGTCATCCCAAGCCCAATGACAAGCGTGATCCAGTTTTGAAGCTGCAAGATATCCTTCCAGAACCTCGAGTATTGAAGAAACCATACCAGCCCGAGTGCCAAGTAAGCCAGTGACATGAATCCGTAGAACGTCATGAGAGCCACCATTCTTCCCGGCAGGTATCCGTGCGGGTTCTTCCACACGGTCTTGCCATCGATCATCAAGCCGTCGAGCTGAGGATCGCAGTAGACGAAGTAGAGAATGTACATGCCTGACTTTGTGATCTTGACTTCCTCCACTCCCATGGTGGTGGTGAGATCGTTGCCGCGGAAGAACACATTGATGGCTTTCGGAGATCCCGCGTTCTCGGGGTTGTGACGGAGTATCACCTCTCCCTGGTTGCAGCCAACGTCCCTGGCGAGATCTGGAGTGCAGCAAAGCGCGAGGTGACCACCGTACAGAGAACCCCCGAGCAAATCTCTGTCCGCAACGTCGAAAACCACAGCTTGGACCAGCCCAGATTTGTGCTCTGACGCTGCATGCTTGGCAGCGGCTTCTTCCGTGCGAGTGAAAGTCACCGAGTGATCAAACCTGGCACAAACAAAGAAAAAAACAAAGAACGAAAGCACGATGTGAGTATGGATTAGAAAAAAAAACTCCAGGCTTCTTGGAGCTCAATAGTACCTGATGTAAGAACGACCGTTGCCAATCCCAGATCTATTAGCATTCGACGTGCTCGCATAGATTCCTTCGCTGCCGCCAAAGAAAATGTAGGCATTCCCTTGCCCGACAAAGTGTTCGTGCACGTATTCGTGGACGGACGCATCTGTGGACCAAATGCAAATGGCCACCACAGCCAGCGCCAGAATCCCGCCCATTCCTCGCAGCCCTAGCTGGAAATCCCCCATCCCTGAGCCGAGAACCGAAGATTACCTAGAATTCCAATGCAGATCCCGCTGGATCACGCCCGCATTGCGCGAGAATCCCCGGAATTTCGCGCAGATCTTGCCGATTCACGCCTGCATTGTCCCCAGGGCGCGACGATCCAGCGATAGACCTTGCCTGGAGCCTGCCGCTCGAGAATTCCTCACGGGAATTCTACCTGGACAACGCCGTGATCATACCGATGCGCTTGGCATGAACAAGAAAGAAAGAGGGCTGGAAGGAAACACCGACTGGTTTCCACTCTAAAGCGTACGAAAGCGAGTGAGATTCGTGGCCTGTGGCCCAATATCGTTAGGTGACTGTACGAAAGGGGGTGTATGGTATATATCTGGGGCCCGATATCGAACCACCACCGGCTGGTGTGACATCAGTGCGAACACATCTGGACCGTTTGATTTCAACGGCTTAGATCTCTTCCGGCCGAGGTTCCGTTAAAATCCTGTGTTTTACCGGTCCCGTTAAAAAACTCTGTTATGTGTGCGCGGGATTCTTAGGGTTTGGGCGCGGCTTAGCTGGAGCGATCGACTGATCGCTGAGGTTTCGATCGATCTAGAGCCGCATTCTAGGTAGCTTGCAAGATTTGTCACGGCGATGGATGGAATCGAAGCTGTGTATGGATCTTCCCGCGGAGCTCTTCGAAATCTCACCAATCGGACGAGGCGGCCCGGCCCCCCGGGGGGCCTGACGTTCGATCCGTTTGTCTGGGAGGATAATCAGCATCGCGGAGGCGGGGCATGGCTTTCCAGGACGCCGGTGCGTTGGGATCGCGAGATTCAAGAGATTTCTCCCGCCGGTCCGGTGGGATCTCCGCGAGAGGCCAGTCCTTCTGGCGTCCAGAACCTCATGCTCAATGCCAAGGACAAGGAGGCTTTGCTGGAAGAGTCGATCAGGCTGAAGCAAGCGATCCACTGCCAGGATTTCTTTCTTCGCCGGGACAAGGTCCACGTTTCAACTGTGGAGATTGAGAATCGGTAGCTACTTGGAGTTTGGATTTCTTATCTGGCTTTTCTGACGAATCGAGCTTCTATGACAGGAAGCTCGGGTTTGATATCAAAGACATGGAAACGCAAGGAAACATCAAGTCTCCACCCCGTGGAAGAAGCATACGTACCAGACTTAAAGGTAGAAGGAAAATCTAGCGTAGCTCGAGGTTTTTTTCTTTTCATAGAACTTACAATGCTCCTTGTTCTCTTTTTTTTTCTCTCTTACGCAGGACTAAAGATAAGATACGAAGACATGCGAGCTGTGTGCGACGCGCAATTTGACGAGCTATCCACGCTGCGAAGGGATTCACGGCCAACGGCGATTCAAGTAAGAACGAACTACTACTACTTCAGAACGTTTCAAACTAACCAGAGACATTAGGCTTGTCATAAAATCTCAGGAAATGGAGATGGACCGAGACGCGCTGCACTCTGAGGTTTCCAGGTTGCACAGAGACGTTACCGGGTTGAAAGCAGTCCAAAACGCTCTCAAATGCGAGCAGAAAGGCTTGTTTTGCATCAAGGAGAAGGCAGACGAGCTGGAAGAAGTCAACCACACTTTGGAAAAATGCATGGACGTGAGTAAACCAGATTCGGAACACTTCTGATATTCGTTCTATCAGGCCGTAAACAAGGAGCTTGCAAGAACAAGCCACGACATGGTTGTGTTCAACCAGAAAATGATCGAATCGGGCCTGGAGGCGAGAAGAAATGCAAAGAGATTCAAAGACTTGGAGGAACACACGGCAGCACTGAAGATCCTTATCGAGAGGGAGAAATCCGAGAGGATAGATCTGGACAAACAGCTGGTGGGATTGGAGCAGCAGGTCAAAAAGGCCGACCAGGAGCTAGTTTGCAAAGCAACAACAAAGCCCAAGGACGAACCTCTCGCGAGCGCAGCGTCAAAGCAAGGAACCGCCGCCGCCACTACTGCTACTGCCGCCAAAGGACTGAAGAAGGCTGCGAGCAAACCACCAACACCAACGCCGGGAAAGCTAGATCCGGCGCTCAAACCATCGACAGCTCCAGCTCCATCGAGATCCAGAGCCGCGACGACCAAAGCGAGCTCGATCAAGCCCGCTGCGTCAACCAAAGTTGCTGCTACTAGTACCACTGGAGTTTCCAAAAAGCAACGAACTTGACTATGTGTTAGAATGTGAGGTAAATAAGTAAAAGAGAAGGAACAAATTGTCACCTAAAGTTCTCGATAAGATTCACCTTCGAATCGTGTTTCTCTGGTCTCGTCTCGTTCCGCCGCTGTCCCTTCGACTGCTACCATCGCGGTGATCCAAATGCGACCACTCCGACTTGTAGCGGTCCCTGCGAACTGGAACTGGAGACCGGCTTCTCTCTCGATAGTCTCGTCCTCCTCCTCCCCAGCGAGGAGCATACGGCGATGGCGGTCGTCTCTCGTCTCTAAAACCTCCTGGAGGCGGTCCCCTGTTCTCGTGATAGTAGTCTCTTTCCCTCTCCCTGTGTCCACCACCATAAAAACTTCCTCCTCCTCCTCCTCCTCTATCGAAGCCTCCTGGTTTATCAAATCTCTCCCTGTCGAATCTTTCGTGCTCGTATCGATGGTCGAAGCCTTCTCGAGATCTCACGTCCCTGCCCGGATGGAAGTGCCTGTCCGGGAAGTGGTGCTCCGGGGGACCGAAGTCGTCGAAGGGTCTGCGCTCCCACATCGGTCCCGGCGGCCCGAATCCACCACCAATCGGTCTGTCCATGCCTACAGGCGGCGGTCCATCGAGGAACGGAGGTGGCAGTGGCCGAAAGTTTGGAGGATCCATCCGGAAGGGACTCATGTCTCTCCTGGGCCGGCTGCAGTTGTTACAAGCGGTCCTTCGAGCAAAGTTTAGATTTCCACAGCTGCAGGAAAGAGAGAAGCGTAAAGAACGAAACAGGAAAGCTTAACTCAGCGAGAGCTTACGTTGGTTCTGTGCATATCCAGTCGCCTTCTCTTGGAGCAACATTGGGATTGTTACGTCCAAAGCCGTCCGCACGGAACTCGTCATAAGGCCCCCGGCCTCGACCAAATCCTCCACCTCGTCCTGGTCCATCATATCTCCGGCCTCTTCCTCTAACCGCCGCTCTATAAGGGAAGTCACTGAACCTTCCTCTGCGAGGACTGAGGCTGGGACTGCGGCTTCGGCTTCCACTTGTCTTACGTGCCAGAGAGACTTGGATTTTGCTTCCTTTGTATTCATAGCCTGGTGATTGAAAGACATTAGTTAAAAACAACCACTGCCTACATAGTCCATACGTACCATCGAACCATTTGATCAATCCCTTTGCATCTTTTGGATCCTCCAGAACGACCTCGGCCTCGCAATCGCCATGATATGTCTTAAAAACTTTAATACCTTCTCGACCAACCTATTCAAAACGTTTCATCAGCTTTATTCACAGCAAAGAAAACTTCTACCTTCGGCTCTCCAGCTTCAGCCAGCAATTCCACCAGATTCTCCTCCGTCACTCCGTCGGGAAGATTGGAGATGTGGATCATATCTGCAAAAGAACGACGCGTTATATAGACTCACAAGCCTCCTCAAACAGAAGAATGCAACTTAGAAACACAAATCAGCCACTTACGTGGAGGAGAAATACAGGACTAATGCAACTTGAAGCGAGAGATCCATACTCACTGGCTTCTAAAATCCAGCTAAAGCCTACAAAAAATCCCACCCCTCCAGTAGATAGATTTCCCAGACCCTCTTCTACTCCCGAGCAAGCACACAAGACAACCCACTACGAAGCAGCCCCCGTAGAAGCAGTCCTCTAAGCAATCTAAAGCGAAATTCTAGCCCAAACCTGCATCCTCCCGGAATCGATGCACCTCCCTCCTTTCAACCTCAGATCTCACAGCACTGTTTAGCGGAGTAGACTCCGGCTGCTGCGACCCCTTTTCTCGATCCCATTCTCCTTCTTCTTGAGGCACTGCTGCTGCTACTTCTGCGGCTAATCCTTCCGGCTCCGCTGATGCGTCCGGTGGCGCCGATCTGGCGAATTCTTCATCAGCTCCGCCGAGAGCGACGGCGCCATCGCCATCGCCTTCTCCTTCCATCCCACTCACAAACCCTAGGCTTCTCTCTCTCCTGTCCTTTATTTCCCGTTGGCTGGATTACTCGGGTTCGATTCCTGTTTTAAAGCATTAGGTCATGCCACAATGGTTGCGGGTTCGATTCAGCACACCGCCAATGGAAGAAGAAGAGCGGCGATGCCGCTGCTCGCCATGGCGGCCTTTCTCATTCTCATCAGCGATGGCGCCTCCGCGGCGAGCGTCACGGCCGCGGAGGCGCTCCAGCTTCGTGACGAGGTAATTCGTGGGGAAATTTTGGATCTAGGCGATCGATCGCTCGTATTTTGCCCGCTTCCAGGTGAAAGAAATGTTCTACCACGCTTACAATGGCTACATGGCTCACGCATTTCCTCTAGACGAGCTCCGGCCGATGAGCTGCGCTGGAGAGGACTCTCTCGGTGGCTATGCACTCACTTTGGTAACGTGGTAGCGATATTTTTCGAGGGTTTTAGTAGTGAGTTTTTTGTTTGGTTTGTTTATTTCTTACAGGTTGATTCTCTGGACATGCTAGCCGTGCTGGGTGATCGAGAGAAATTCTTTGACGCTGTGAATTGGATTGGTAAACACTTACGATTCGACAAAGTACAGTAACTCTGTAAAATGGCTGATGTTTTTTTCTTTTTCTTTGTTTCTCCTTTTTTTTTTTTCACGAACGCCGCCAACTTGTTTCTTTATTTTGTAGAATAAGACTGTATCCGTGTTTGAGACTACGATTCGCGTGCTTGGAGGCCTTCTTTCTGCTCATATGCTTGTCAGTGACCAAGCCACGGTGAGAGAGCTCTTCCCTTAGTTTTGTTTCTCTTACTATCCTCACGACCACATTCAGGGAATGGTAATGTATGATTACAATGACGAGCTACTTAATCTTGCAGAAGACCTTGGTCGGAGGCTTCTTCCTGCTTTCGACACACCTACTGGTACGTGTTTTTCTTTCTTGTGTCTGGAATTGCTGACAGCCTTTGTCCAGGAATACCTTACGGTTCTGTAAATCTTCTCTATGGAGTGAGCGAAGACGAAAGTCAGGTATTGACGCAATTGTCTGAGTGCTGCGGCTTAGTTTGGTAATGACAGGTAACATCAACAGCGGGTGGAGGAACTCTAACCATGGAATTCGGTGTTCTAAGTCGATTGACTGGCGACCCTGGTGATGTAGAATTTAATCCAGTTTTGGAAACTGACATTGTCCGGCTGATTCAGTGTTTGAGGAAGTCTCTCGAAATGCAGTCCGTGGACTTTGGGCCCAACGTTCTCACATTGGTCTTGTTGGTGCTCACATTAATGTGCTTTCCGGAGAGTGGACACATAAAGTAAGCGCCTTTACTGCATTTCCACCTTTGTCGTTTAACCTGCTTTATACCAGGATTCCGGAATTGGAACGAGCATAGATTCGTTCTACGAATATCTTTTGAAGGTAAAGAATGGCTCTCTAATTTTCTCGGATATTGAATTGAGCCTGTTGCTCCTATGCATAGGCTTATTTGCTTTTTGGAGAAGATGAGTACCTGCATATGTTCAAAGAATCATACAAGGCAGTAATGCGCTACCTATTCAAAGATCCATGGTATTTTTTCTATAATCCATGGTTGTTTTGATTTCTTTGAAATGTCAACACTGCAGGTATATGGAGGTCAACATGAACAGCGCCGTTGTTGTTTGGCCTCTTTTCAATAGTTTGCAAGCGTTTTGGCCTGGACTACAGGTAAAGATGATGTGTTACAATGTTTTAACATTTTGATTCCGGTCGCCATAATCAGGTCTTGGCAGGAGATGTAGAACCCGCTACTCAAACTCACACAGCATTTTTCTCTGTGTGGAAGAAGTTTGGCTTCACCCCAGAAGGATTTAATCTTGCAAGCATGAGCATACAGGTTTGGTTTATTGTTCCTCATTTAGTTTCAACAGAAAAATGCTTTCTAACTGGATTCTTGCAGCCAGGTCAAAGGAGCTATCCTTTGCGGCCAGAATTAATTGAGAGCACGTACTGGCTTTACAAAGCGACCAGAGATCCAATGTACGGCATCGAAGTTTTGGGGAAACTTTTTGGTCTCTAATTCGACGTTGGCCGACTAGTTACCTTGATGCAGGTCGTGATATTTTGGCCAGCATTCAGTATGGATGCCGCTGTCCATGCGGCTACTGCCATATTGCGGACGTTGAAACACACCAACAGGACGATCACATGGAAAGCTTTTTTCTCTCTGAAACTGTACGTAAAACTTTCAGATCTTTTCATTATTCATTTTATTTAACCTGTTTTCTTCTATGTAGGTAAAATACTTGTACTTATTGTTTGATCTTGCAGCGGGCGGTGATAACATTGTAGAAAATGGACCTTACCCGTAAGTGTTGATCTAATTCTAGCTCTTGGCCTGACAATGTAGCGGCTCCGTTCCAGGTACCTGTTTTCAACGGAAGGTCATTTGTTTCCTCTAACCCCGCAAATATCATTGCCAAAAGAGTGCTGCACGTATTCTGGAAGTTTTTGCCCAGACTCCTCGAAGTCGAACTGGATGCTACACAATGCAACGAATCACGTCGACGCTGGTAGTCCACTGAAGGTATTTCTCCTTCCGTCTTAAAGTTGGAACTATCGACTGTTCTTTGGCAAACAGGGAGCGTGTTCTCAGCTCAGTCTCTGGAGACGCCTCGCAATTGCGAACAAGTTTGCTAAGAAGACGAACAAGCGCAAATCGGCAAGGATGAGCAGTATACTGGAGGCGGTCGAGAAAGCTGGAAACGAGCTGGTAAAAGTGGAGATTCAGACAGATGTGGCTTTGGAAGATGATCACTCCACTCAGGAAGACAAAGGCCAGGAAATCGCCGCCGAAGAAACAAAAGAGAACGGGAACCTTTCAAGCGATTGAAATCAATAACAGAATCTAAACCCTTTTTTCGCAAAAACTTATTGGGTCGGAATATGACTTATACTTCGAGACAGACAGACGGGTCATCAGATGCATACTCTACGACCCAACAAGTTAATAGATTTCTAATCTCCACTCTATTTAAATAAAATTTTTACGCTCATGCTTGGGCATGTGGGATAATCGTGGCTACCCTAAAACTTGCCCTAGTCGAATTTAGGGCAAGTCTAATTGAATTGGCACTAATGCATAACTTTTAGCAAAAGAACACAAGGAACAACACAAAAATAGCTAATTCGCGAAAGATCAATCTAGGAAGAACACAAAAGAAATATATAGGAAGAGGAGAGTTGCTATCAAGCAGCCGCAAGCGCCGAGATGCTCATGGGCGTCACATACTGGGTGCCTCCATTGTACCATCTCTGCGCGGCGATGGTGTTGAATGCCTCGGTGGGATGGACCAGGTCCCAAAACATGTACTCCCCGCTGTTGGCGCAGTGGGGCGCGTTGGCGTAGCACCATTGCATCGAGTTGCCAGTGCCCGGGCAGCACCCCTGGTGCACGTTGCTCAGCCCCACGCTCGAAGGATCAGCGATCGCCTCCTCCATGATCGACGCGGCGTTCGCGTACACGGGCGTGAATCCCTGGTGCGCCTGCTGCATCGACTGCAGCATCGCCTGGAGCTGCGAGTTGAACTTCTGCGTCATCGACTTGCCCAGATCCGTGCACTTGTCGTTCACTTGCGTCGCGGGCACGCAGCCCACGTCCAGGATGCCCACAACCACGAATTTGCGCGCGCCCGCGTTGTACAGTCGCTGCGAGAGCACCCAGTGAGCGCGCCAGATTCGCGAATTTTAAAATGTTTTTAGGGTTCTTGCTTACCTCCAGCTGCGTCTGGAACTGCGAGATGATCGACGCCGTCGACGAAATCGACATCATGTCATTGTTCCCAGTGCTTATGTAGAAGATCGAATTGGAGATCACGTCCGCGCTGAGACCCTTGGCCACCTGAGTGAACAAATCGACTTGATCCGGCAGCGTAAGAATCGATCCCTGCCAAGAAAACCACCAATGCTCCACTGCAATTGAGAAGATCACGATTGATTTCCATACCTGTCCGGTGCTGGTGAGGATTCCCGAGCTGGCCGAGCCGAAATTCATCCCCTGGGCAGCGGCCGATGCATCAGACGAATACGGTGGCGGATACGGCAGGCCCAGGTGCTCGGCCACGAGATCCACTGCGAGCTTTCCATCGCAAAACCTCCCGCTCGCCTCGTGCCCCGACCACTTGAATCCATACGGCAAGTGATTGGCCTTGGCCGGAGTGTTGCGATTGTTGTTGTTCCCCGGATCCACGATGGAATCGCCAAACACAAACAATCCCTGGACTCCAGCGCTGGCGTTCTTGCATGGAGGACCCGGCGGCGGAGCCTGGGATGGCGAAGGAGCTGGCGATGGCGGCGGGTGGTGGTGGTGGTGTCCAACTAGTCTACTCCCATGCCCGCGGTGGTGATGTCTACTCTTTCTGCCATTGTGTGCTTTCCTTGCATCGCAAAAACTAGAGAGACACAAAGCAATGAGAATCAAAACCACAAGCTTCTTCATCATCATCATCTTGCAACTACGATCAAGTGAATTTATTTTTTTTATAACCCAAAGTCTATCTATTTTATAAGCTTGGCTTCTACGGGGCAAAAATACACGATCATATCTTTTAAACTATGCCATTATTAATTAAAACCATTTGTTCTTACACTTTGATAATTTGGTAATGGTGTGAGATTTGGAGCGGGGTTTCTTTGGAGAGTGATCGTTCTTCCGACCACAGCCCCAAGCTGCATTCCGCGCCGCCCCAATGCACAAGGCAAACACTTACTTCCTTGACGTTGAATCGGTTCACTACTGCGTAGCCTGATTCCTTGTCCACGAGCATCCACTCGCCTGGAAAAACAAACAAATGAAACTCTAGAAACCATTCTCTCAGAAAAACTTGACGATTTCTACCGTTTGGTCTGTCGTCTCCGCGCAAGAACGTCTCTCCAAACGTGGCGCCGAGTTCTTTCTTGGCCCCGTTGACGGCCGTGAACTTGACAAGCGTTTCAGAGGGATGCGGCACCTGAAACGATGGCTGGACCCGAAGGCACGCAATCCTGGTCCAAGAGAATCAAAATAATGTGAAGTGTATCGAGGTTTTGTTGCAGTACCTTGAGTATCCGCCAGCGCCAGCTCCAACAGATCTCGCTACAATCTGGGAGGTAATATGGACAACTTTCGGGGACTTCTTGTGAATGGCGATCTCCCTGGACATAACCAGTCCGCCACCAAGATCACACTCCATAGACAGGACGTCCTCCCCGTTTATCTCTAGGAGGTTGCGACTGGCAGTCACAGACGCGCAAGTTAGTGGCGGAACACAACAGTGTCACCAACCTCAGAACATTGTATTCTTCGGTGCAACCAGGGCCGCGGTGTTCGCTAGTGCTGTATTCCTCGTAGCCGCCACCTTCTACCCGGCTTGGGAAAAAATCAATACCTGCGTTTCAACCATCAGTACCAAATTCCGGCTGAAAACACAGACAGACCTGTTTCCTTGTGGACCATTGAAATGATGCGACCACCAATCCAAGGTACCACCTTAAGCTGAAAGTCTGTGCCTGAGAGTTCAATTAAAACTCTAGGAGCACCAACACCCTTGAGCTTATCGTGTGTGATATCGTATTCCGCCAAACCTTTCACTTTCGCTGTCAACTCATCAGCAAGACCAATTGAATATAAATGCCACACATACCATTCTTCTCTTCGACTTGCTTGACCGCAGCTTCTACAAGCTTCTGCATTTCCTCGGAACCCGGCAGCTTCATCAACAGGTCATCTCCATCCTGGCCGTCAGCATTGATCTTCAAGATTTACGAAGAGGTTAGATAAGCAGGATATAGAACATTTCGTGTAAGTACCTCAGCGCGGTCGCCAATTAACAGACGAACACGAAGGGGTCGCTTTGGTCTCTTCAGAGCGCCTTGTACGCCTGCCACTTTGATCAGCACTTCACTTCCGTTGCTCCTGCTGTTTGCTTCGTAATGCGTTAGTAAAAACTCTCCTTTCTGGTAACCAAAACTTTCTCCGTCGTCTTCGTAAAGTACACCCTCGGCATTACCTGCAGCTCTACGTCACCTTTTGGCAGCAAATGGAGCATTTCCTACCGTCTTTGTCGAGAGCAATAATAAGTGTTACTGGGTCCTCAAAGTGCGCTTCGCCTAGGTGCTCAATTCGGGGACCAGCAGGTATGATGGAACCACCTCTCAAATGGAGAAGTGGAAGGTCCTGCGAATCCACGTAAAAATCAAAGAAAAAAATATATTCTGATTTACAGGATGATAGTCATCAAAATCAAAGCGCTGCCATATCCCAGAAGGGATAACAATTGTCTTTGGATCGACAACCTTGTCTGGATCGGTACTGTAGTAAATAAAAGTCAAACGCGTGGCGAGAAAAAGCAAAAGTCAACTATACCTTGTGGACACTAGCAGAGAACCTAGCAGAAAGCTTGTCTCGACTTTCCGTAGCTTTGGATCTTTGCAATCTAGAACAGAAATAAAACGGTTACAAGCATTGACAATATTATTACCATAAACAAAGGACAAACCAGCAAAAAAAATTGGAGCCATCACTGGTAGTCCCTTCGTATGTGCAAAGTATACCAACGTGTATAAATGAGGCAGCAGCTGGTATCTTCGTAGCAAGGCAAGACGGCAGACATTTTTACACTGAAACAAAACTGTAAATATGATTCTATGAACAGTAACGTATCTCCAGGATTTACCTCATCACCAAAAGACCATGGTTCGTGATCAACCGTCCCTTTCTCAGAATGTCCTCGAGCAAATGGAAACAGTGCCCCGAATCCCATCCATCTACCAAAAAGTCTAGCAGTTGCATCGCCCGCAAAACCTCCGATATCAGGTCCAGTTAGTGGTGACCCACTCAGGCTCTGTGAAGCAAAAAAGTTAGCCACAGCAGACGAAAAAAAATGCATGTACCAGATTGAGGGCCATTGCTATACTCATATGTGCGTGATCCCAGTTGGATGAATTGTCGCCTGTCCATGTAGCAGCATATCTCTGGCTTCCCATGAAGCCCGCTCGAGTAAGAACGAATGGCCGCTTAGTGGGGTTTGCAAGCAGCATTCCTTCGTACGTCGCTCTGGCCATCAGCATCCCATACACCTGAAAATTCAAAAGCCAATCAGCAAAATGTTTGCAAAGAGTTCCATACGTTGTGATAGTGACGGTGATTTTGTGTCCCTCCCATTTCTGGATCTCCACTGTGCATATTATCTTCAGGCATTGTTTTCGACACTGACTGCATTAGCTTACGTAAGTTTAAACTTGAACTCATTTTTTAAACACATTTGTACCTTGAAAACAGCGGGCTCGTTCATATCATTCCATATGCCATTGACTCCGTTAGAAACGAAGTCTTTTATCAGGTTACTCCACCATGCACGGACTTTCTTTTGGGTATAATCCGGAAAAACGCAAGGTCCAGGCCAGACATCACCTGAAGGCAGCTTGCGTTTCTAAGAGAGAACCAAATTACAGCAAAATGAACTTACCAATAAAATGCTTTCCACTTGCATCCACAACCCATGCATCTTCAGAACACCCCTCATTGTATATGAAATAATCTTCATCCTTCTTAATGCCCGGGTCAATCATCCAGACAGCTTTGAATCCCCTCCCACGCAAAGTCGTTGCAAGACCAATAGGATCCGGGAACTTTTCCTGAAACAGTAACGAAAAATGGACGAGTTGAGCACATCACGGTAACGTCTCGCATTACTTTGTCAAATGTGAAGCAACGAAATCCGTTCATGTAGTCGATATCCATCCAAACAACGTCAGCAGGTATTCTGTGCTCGCGAAAAAGCCTGGAGATCTAATATAAAGAACTTGTCAATTGCCACGTGAAAATTAGAAACGCAACCTCGTCAACTCTCGACGCTGGCTCGTAGCTATAGCGGCATTGGTGATATCCCAGGGCCCACTTTGGAGGCATATTCATGGTCCCTTTGTAATAATACATCACATCAGCACCACCAAGAACTAAGTAAACAAGCTTACCAGTAGCGTTTGCCAGTGCCACCAGTAGATCTTCTGGTGCCGGATACGGTCCGAATACGATAACTGGATAGAAGCAATCGGCAGCAAATCGAATTGTCGATTCCTTGCGAAGGTCCACCTACAGGTAGCACAATGGATCGTCTTCGTCATTAATTTCTAGATCGCTTACTTCACACTTTCGGGTAGTGTCGGCCAGTACCCCCAGTACTTCGCCACTGGGAAGGACAACGAAGACCCAAGGGTGTGACTGATAAAGGCAGGGGCTGTTCTTTCCGTAGCCCCAAGAGTCGGTGTTCCACGTATACATCTGCAAAACGCAAGTAAAAACTTAGTTTCTTCACTTAAGTCTAATCCAAATTACTCTTTTTCCTGTTCGCTCTAGAGGCCCGCTGACTTCTCCCGTTCCATAGAACGAAGCTCCCGAAGGAAGCTGGAAATTTAGAGTGAGAGCTTTCAAAGACAGAATCCACAGGATATCATACCGCTAGGATTACTGTCTGGGTGGAATCGTCGTCCAGGGTAAAGAGAGGAACAAAGAGCGGCTTGACAGTCGATTCCAAGCGCTTTTCCCGCCTCTCGGCCGGCACAAACGAAAGAGAAGGGAAGCACTTCGGGCGACTCTCCTCGTCGCAATCGAAGCGGAGAATTTTGGCCTCTAGAACAGCCATGCAACTCATCTTCGATGCCGCCATAGCTCCGACCTTACTGCTGCTCGAGATCTGGGATCGATCGCATGAGAGAAGAGGAGAAGAAATGCCGAGAATGCCGCACCTTTTTAAACGGGAAGCACGACATAGGCTCCACGCGCAGCGCCTCGCCAAGCGTTACACGCTGCCGACGCTCGCGACAAGCGATGGATAAAACAGCCGCGGGCAGCGGATCGGGAGGAGGAGCGCAAGGAAACGCATCGATCGGCTGCAGCGCAGCTGGAACAAGCAAGCATTCGATGAAAATCCCTGCATTGAAGAGCTTCTCCCTACCGGATGCGCCAGCGCCAGCGCCACTCCCTCGCTGCTCGCTCGCGCTAACCTAAAACCGTTTAGCTTCTTTAGGGCGAATCACGAGACTCAAGTAGCAATCACTTTGTTTGTTGCCACCAACGCGAATGCAGCAAATATGCCATGGCATCATAAAGATGCCATGCCACGTCATAAAGTGTCACTTTGACTACCAGGAGAACTGGACAAGTCAGCGTAGGACACGTCATTGATTTAGGTCTTCATGGCTCCGGCTATGGCGACATTCGCAGCGGGATGCTTCTGGAGCGTGGAGCTCGCATTTCAGCGCATTCCCGGCGTGATCAAGGTGCGTGATCTGTTATTTCTCTCCTTAAGTGTCTCGAACGATCGATCGATCAATCGGTGATCGATTGCCGCGGATTTTCCGAGAGGGAGTGATTGTTGCGCGCATTCCTTGTGTAGACGACCGTCGGGTACACGCAAGGAAGCAAGGAATCTCCCACATACCACGACGTTTGCACTGGCAGGACCGGCCACGCCGAAGCCGTGCTCGTCGAGTATGATCCAAAGGAGGTCTCGTACACAGCGCTGCTGGACGCGTTCTGGAAGAAGCACGATCCAACACAGGCCGATGGCCAGGTAAAAGTTTTAGAGACAGCGATTGATCGATCCCCGCTCTCTTTTCACTTTTTCTTTTCGTTATTTCACAGGGGAATGACATAGGATCCCAGTACCGATCCGGCATATACTTTCACACACCCGAGCAAGAGAAGCTCGCAAAGCAATCTCTCGAGCAAGAGCAGCAACGACTCGGCAAGAAAATCGTGACCGAGCTTCTCCCGGCCACAACCTTCTACCCCGCCGAGGATTACCACCAGCAGTATCTCGAGAAAGGCGGGCGAGGTGGGCGCAAGCAATCGGCTGCCAAGGGCTGCACGGATCCCATCAGATGCTACGGCTGAGTCAAACGAGATCGCGAAACAAACTACGAAAAAGAGGTAACGAACAACGCTGTGTGTGAACGATTTCATGCTTATCCGCCTGTCAACTCTCGCTGCAGGGAAAGTCCAAATAAGCAGCGCTCTTGTGGCTCGCTCTGGGTGGTGTGAAAATAAAAACGTTCTTTCTTCATCATCTTGTGTCGATCGTCAGGGGGGCCACCAATATGAGATCTAGCACGCTACGCAAGAAAAACAAGTAAAAACAAAGAAAGCAGCGCCCCCCTCCCCCCCACCTTGAACAATCCGATCACTACAAGTAAGCATCGATCATCGGCTCAACTCCTAAGTTTCTTTAAACTCTAAGCGACGACCCCCCCTCTTCTCGCTGTCCCTCTCGATCGACTGACCTGTGGAGTGGTGGTGTGTCACTTACAGTTGCAGCGGACGGGCGTACACTTCTTGCAGCGCGAGAAGCATCCCAGGAAGGACTTGGTTCGCTCCGAGGGCCAGTGCCAAGTGTTGTAAGACATGGCCTTGCTGGACGAATCGTCGAGCTGCTCCAACGTCTTGACGATCTCTGGGAAGCCGGGCCTCTTGTCCGGATTAGCGGACCAGCATCTTCGCATCAGCGCGGCCAGTGCGCTTGGACAGTTCTCGGGCACCTCGGGCCGCGCGTCCTAGATAAAAGGCAAAGAAACTTCGATCAGGGCTGGAAGGAAGAACACGATGACGACGACTTCGAAGAACAAAAAAGAAGCAAAGGAAAAAAGGCGAGAGCTACACACCTTGTGAAGAACAGCGTACGCGACTTGCACGGCTTGCATTTCTTGGAAGGGGACTTGGCCGGTGACGAGCTCCCACAGGACGATGCCGAAGCTGTAAACGTCGACTTTGGTGGAGCACTTGTTCTTGCCGCTGATCATCTCGGGCGCCATCCAGCGGTACGTGCCCACGTCCGCCTTGCCGACGCTGGGGGCGTCCGCCTCGCACCGCGCGACGCCAAAGTCCGTGATCTTGACGCACATATCGCCGTCCAGGACGAGGTTCTCCGACTTGAGATCGCCGTGGATGACGCGCTGCGAGTGGATGTACTCCATCCCCCGCGCGATGTCCATGGCCATGCCCAGCGTCACCTTGAGTGGCAGCGAGCTGGGCTCGTTCTTGTGGAGGAATCCGCGCAGCGAGCCACCCGCAAGGTACTCGGTCACGACGCAGTACACGGGTGGCTTCTTGCAAGCCGCGACGAACTGCAATGCAAAAGAACGAAGAAAGTGAGCGAGCGTTCGCGCAAAGTTGTCACGACCAAAATGCTGCTAGATCATCTTCTTTTCTTCGGGAGAGAAGAAAAGAAGCCATGAATTCTCAGAGAGAGAAAGAAGCCACAATCTCAGCCATGCCACTCGATCGAAAAGGTAAAGAAAATGCCGACAAGCACGAATTCTCGATCAAGAACGCGAGGAGGGGCCAGAGATTTATGAGAAAACCATGCCGCTCGTCAAGATCAATCGAAAAAGAAAAAGGAGAAGGAATCGACCTGGACGATGTTACGGTGATGGAGACGCGAGAGCAGCGAGACCTCATGCGCGAATTGCCTATCCACCATCCGGGACACCTCCTCGTCCTCGTCCGGCTGCCTCATCACCTTGACAGCCACGGCCTTGCCTTTGTAGATCCCGTGATAGAGCCGGCTGTGCGCTCCCGACGCGAATTTGTGGCCCAAGAACAGCTGCGTCATGTCCACTACCCATTCCTCCGATCGCTCTACCGCCTTGACCTCGCCAATCCCTTCCAGGTACTGCGACCACGATTCCACGCGCTTGGGGACGAGAGCTCTCCCTGGTGCGTTCCCGTGGACGAATTCCTCCACGGTTCTCGCGGGCGATGCGAAGGGGGAGCTCCTGTTGCTGGAGGGGAGGGAGTAATCCGACGAGGAATCGATGAACAGCCGCTTCTTGAATATTTCGAGCGGGATTTCTTCGTGAGACCTGGAGCGCAGCGGCGGCTTGCCGATCTTTTGATGCGGGAAGCAAAGATCGGGGATATTTCGAGCGTCGATCCGGTGGCAGACGGAGCGGGAGAAGCTGCAGCGGCCGAGCCATGCCGATTCCGAGGGATTCTCGCGCGCCATCGCCAGAAAAGAATGGAGGAGAAGACGAAGAAGAGGGAAGAAAAGAATCCAACTGCAAGAACACGACAGAGGAGTATTCCAATCCCCCTCTCTCACACCGCGCCCTCGCCTTCCTGATCATCCATGTCAATCAGCCTCAAACACATCGTCGCGGAGAGAGAGCCCCATTCCTCCTCCTCGTCCAAGAGCCCTAAACTCCTCGCTCGCGCTCATATAGATCTCCGCCGTCGCTTGCGCGTATCTCACGGCCAGTGTGGGCCCGCGCGCCGTCACCGTCGGATGCCCGGCACCAACTGCTGGGATTCCTCCCCTACAAGATCATGTCATGCACGAACCACGCACTAAAAAATCACCGTTATTTTTTAATACTCCGCTAAACTTTCCTTGCAGTAGCCGCGAGCAAGTTGAGCCTTCAAAGATAAGAGAGGAAACATTGCAACTTGTATGTAAAAGTTGTTTTGGTTGCAACTTGGCTGATCTCACAAAGAAATCCTCCTGGGCATTTGTCGTTGACTTGTTAGGGCTAGTGTTTGATCACGGGCGCCCGCTGCTGGGCTTGTGCCGGGGGAGTCAAATCTTTCCTGCCCGGGATTTCGATGGCATGGAGAAAATATGGAACTCGTGAAATCGCATCTAGCGGGATCGCCTTGGACTAAATTAATCTGGTGTATGCTTTTGTGAGAGAGTCAGTCCGGTACGGGGATGTACACGTACGGGTGGGCACGGCTAGTGACAGAGATGGATGGATGGATGGATGGATGGACGGACCACGCTCTTTTTCTCTTTCGGCCCTAGGGAGGAAAAAATGTGGCGCATCAAGAAGATGGCCAGTGGTGGTCCATTCCAACACCTTTTGGGGTGCATTGGATATTTCCTGGTATATGCAGGGATGGAGCTTCGTTTGTTGGAATAATCAAAATATTATTCCCTTATTTTAATGAATAATTTTTAGTTAGTTTTATCTTTGGATCTATAATCTTTGTATTATTGGATATTAGCTACAAATTTGATAATTTAGAATTTAAAATTTTTCATACCAAAACAGTAACCAAGCTATTGTTCACCAATCAAAATCATAATGAAGTGGCAATTATATATTTATGCCGTTAGATATCTTCATCTCCAGCAGAAAATTTCATTTTCTTATTTAGATTTTTACCAAAATAATAACACATTGCTATATTATGATTTATATAATTCACAAAATAATTATCATTATGAGTTTTGCCATCTAGCACCTCATAATGCTATTAATGTCTTTTATGTTTTATTAATTTGATATTTAAATGTATTAAATTTTAAATTATAATAACATTAAGCTATTAAATGACTACCTAAACTTCAAAGTTTCTTTATAGAAACTAAATTTATTAAATAAAGTTAAAAGTTATAATATTAAAAGTTATTTTAACATTTTTTAATTTTTAAAAGTTATAATATTAAATTATAATTATAATCTATTATTTTTATGATAATTTCTAATAAATACTTATGGATGATAAATTATAGAATTAACTTAGGGGAGACTTATGGTGAAGGAAAATTGATTCCAAATGATTTCCTTGTTAATTTCTGAGATGGGTTGAAATTCCTAAAATTTATGTATTATTGTTTGCTAATTATTTCAAAGATATATAAATATAGTAACTCTTTATCCCCAAAGACAATCTGATATTTATAAACCATATTTTTAATAATTAAGGCAATAAAATTTAATATTTTAAACCATATTCAAAGTAGCTTATTTTATCATTATATTACCTCAATTTTATGATTTATGTAATACTATTCTCTTTTATGTAAAATATATTTTTGTTGTTTAATATTAAAACAAAGAAACTTTTTGAATATTCACGTGATTATTGTAAGGATTGGCTAGTTTCATATATGTTTTATATGATTCATATGTTTACATATTGGAAGCTAGAAGAGAATGCAGTGAAGGTACGAAAAAGAGCCCCTCAGATGGGAACATTATCTTATGACAAATTTGAATGTCATTTTAGAAATATTATCCTCGCTTGAGGGTGCATGCTCACGTCGTCGTGCGTGAATATGAGTTTGGCACCAGCTAGTGCTCTGTTATAAGTCGCCGATGGATTTAGCCTTGCTAGTAAAAATCGGGCCTGGGGCTCAACAAGAAACATTGAATCCACCAAAAGCCACAAACAGTTTTACCCGGGAACATACACTAGAAGATGGAGGCAATTCCGATCCTGGTGGAGTGCTCATGGAATACGACACCAGGGACGGTTGAATCATCAAAAAGAAATTTTTGTCAGTGTTTCTCGCATTCTGAAGTGTGCAGTCTCGTTGATAAACACCTGGAAAACAGCACATTGAGACACATGAAAACAAGTGGGGCAACGAACTTTGCTCAGACGGATCGTCTTTCCACCAATTCTAGGGCAAATAGTCCGCTCCGAGAATCTTTGCAAGCTTGAAATCGTTGGCGCTCTAGCCAGCTCGAAAATGTTTTTGAACCTAGGGCTTTATGTATAGATCCGGTCAACAAACATTTGACCATCGTCTTGACTAGCGAGGGATTGACTACACAATGTCGTGTTGTTCTCTATGGATGCATTTTTTTTGCCCTTTCACGTTTTTTGCCTCACTCTTCTACCATTCACGTCGCCACCGTCGGAGAGTTGGCCCCAAATGTAGCCACCTTTACCACCACTTCCCACGAATAAATCTTTCCCTACTCCAGCTACAGTCTTGAGAAGATCAAACAGCAGCACTGGACAGCTCTCGCGGAGATAGTCGTATCCCTCGGATTGCATCACGGCTGGAAGCGCGAGTAAGAGATTTAGAAGCAATCGGTCGATGAAAAGAGACTAGAAACTTACCCGAGAGATTGTCCGCGGCGTACTTCAGGCACACTCCTTTGAGCTGGGAAGCGTGGTGGAGCTCCGCGAGAGCCAGCGTTGTCGCCACTGTGTCCACGCTCACGGTCTCGCAGAGCTTGGCCTCGCACAGGAGTCTCAAGCGATCTAGTCCGTATCTATCGGCGGCTGCTAGCAAGTGCTGGTAGAGGAGAGTCGGGGACGAGGAGGACGAAACTCCCGAGAGCTCGGCCGTGTCAGGAAGAGCGTCCGTGTACATGAACTGTAGCATTGCCTGCAACAAGATCGCAACTCATTCAGTCTAGCTTAGCATCGATCGTCAAGAACGAAAAGAAAGAAATAAAGCGTGACTTGCGTACCTTAAAGACTGGAGCTAAAATGTCTTCTACTCGTAGAACATCACTGGTGCGCTCCCGGAGAGGCCCCATAAGCTGCGCCTTGAAAACTGGAGATCGGGCCGCAAGCACAAGCTTGTGAGCCTTGAACGTCTCCCCGTCCGCGTCAAAGGTGAGATCGGCGCCCTCTCCGCTCTCGAAAAGAGCTCCAAAGTGCTTACCAATATCCTGCTCCGGTGGCTGGATAGAATAGATCTTTGTGACTTGTGTCCACGACATGACGACGCCAACGGTACACGTTATGTCAAGGCTGTCGTTGTTCAAATAGTCCGACATCTCCAGCGCCTCTCGCCTAAAGAAACGCTTGTATCCCCTGGAACAGTACGAGAATATAAGAAGGAAATTAAACAAATGTGGAAGATCAATTAGGAACATCACTGAGTAAACAACTCGAGAAAGCGCGAGAACAAACACAAACACGCAGGATCGAAAAAAAAGAAGCTTTTGACGCCTCTGTACCATACGAATCCAGAAAGGAAGAACAAAACCTCTATACAAACAGTCACCATCCACGAAAACGATTAAAGAATCTTCACGAGCTACAAACTCTAGAAACAAACACAAAGCAGAAGTATAAAACTCTCCCAACCAACACAAAGAAACAAAGAACACAAAGAAAGAACCAAGAAATCTTAAACAAGCCCACCAAGAAAGAGTAGAGAAAACTTCTACGTACCACATGCTGCCGCGGTACTTCAAAGTGTAGGGACCTCCCTCTAAAGATCGATCAAAATGGCTGTGGACTTTGTGCTTGCCTTTCCCACTTTGATCCACCAGCGTGAGCTCAAACAGCGCCCGGACGTCGGTGCCGTCGCTGGCGAGCGCGATGAACACCGAGACGTAGAGAGAATTGTCCTCGGCGTTCTTCCCATCTGGATAGAAGTAAATCGCCCACTGGTAGCCGCCGACCGTGAAAGTGTTGCTGGCTATATACTTCCCAACGCCCATGCCTTTGGCCAGCGAATATCCGTTGATCGTGAAATGATGCGACCCATTCTTCGTCTCCGTCACACTACGCGATCTCGAGGGCGTGCTGCTCACAACACCTTCCTGCTGTAATGCCACTGCTGGAGCCCGTGCCATGGAAATCCAAGCTCATTCTTCCTCCTCCAGCCTCATCGAGATTGATGATTCGCGACGGCGACGGCGACGACGAAGAAGTGGAAGAAATCCGAGGAACTCGCGGAAATATCCTAGGTTACCTTCGGCCGCGGTAGAAGCGAGCGAAATCGCGGCCCCAGCTGCGAGAATCACCGACGGATCTTGCGATTTTCCGCGGTGCACGGCGCCGATCCGTCCAATCCCTGGCAAATGCCGACCGGCGACTCCCGTGGCGTGGGTCAGGAATGCAAGTTTCTTTGCGCGGCCGCCATAGCCCTATTTGATTCCGGTCGCCATAGCCGTGCTCATGGATGCATGACCATGATGATCCACCGTCGATTCGCTGATACGGACGGTTTAGATTCCAAAGGAATTTGCTTGCATTATTTCTTGTACGACCTCTAGGTACGGACGTTTTAGGGCTCTCTTTGTGCCGCACTCTTTTGTTTGTTCGACCTGTGCGTCTTGCGGCGGTCGCCGCATTCTTTCTCTATCGATTCTCCGCACGGCGCGATCGATCCAATCGCTAGGTCCGAGGAATCGGGCAATCCAATCGAGGGATCGAGCGAAGATTATGAGGGCGTGGCTACATTCCCAGAGCAAAGATTGGTGAGTAGCGGAGCATGCTACCATGGGGCGGCATCACAATGTGCCTGAGCGGTGTGGCGCTCTATTTTCTCAGTCGCAACAGCGGCAGGTACCTTCGATCTTTCTTCTCATCGATCGATTCGCGATTCATAGGTTTCCATTTTTTGTTCTCCTTACAGAGACGCTGCCACGCTGAAAGCGGTCAGAAGGGTCGATCAATTGAAAGACTTAGGTCTGTAGTCTGGATTTCGTCATGACACTTTCTTTGCTTATGGAAAATTTGGTTGTTTTGGCAGCACATTTGCTCGACTCGGCTTGCAAAGCTGTGCCGCTGGTCGTCACCGTCGCGGGTCGTGTTGGCTCGGAGACGCCGATCGGCTGCGACCATAGCAGCTTGAGGTGTGTCATTTTGGAAGAAACGGTGGGTGCTCCGATTTTAATTCTTTTTACTTTCCCGTGGATCGGTTCAGAAGCATTGAGAGTGCGTCGTTGCATTAGGCAGAGCAGCATTTTTTGAAGCACAATGACACCGGCTCCTGGATTCAAGACTCGGCTCTCATGCTTTCAAACAACAAGGAGGTTCCTTGGTTCTTGGTGAGTGCTTTTTTCCTTGTCTTAAACTATTTTTCCTGCAGGTTACACCTTGTCGAGCGTCTCACGTTTTAATTGCAGGAGGATGCCAGTGGCCGAGTCTTCATTGTTGGAGCACGGGGAGCTGCTGGCCTGGAACTCACGATCGCTAGTGAGGTTTTTGAAGAGTCCGGTCGGTCCCTCGTTCGGGGAACCTTGGATTATCTGCAAGGTCTCAAGGTGCCTCGTGCTTTTCGATTTTTTTCCCGATTGTTTTTTTCACTTGCTACGCTCTGTCAGATGCTCGGAGTGAAGCGTGTGGAAAGGGTTCTACCGACTGGAACTGCTCTTACAGTTGTTGGAGAAGTAAGTACTCATGGTAGCCTTAATGGTTTTCTTCAATACAACTTTTAGGCAATCAAAGACGATCAAGGAACGCTGAGAATCCAGAGGCCACATAAAGGACCATTTTACGTTACTCCAAAAAGCATCGATCAGCTGATCGCGAATCTGGGAAAGTGGTCAAGGTGAGTGTGTGCCATCGTTTGGCAATGTATGAGACTTACAGATGCGTTTTGCAGATGGTACAAGTACATGTCTTTGGGCTTCACTTTATTCGGTGTTTTCCTTGTGGCCTCACATACCATCAGATATGTCATGGAGAAGCGGAGAAGAGCGGCCTTGAACAGAAGGTATTCCTCTAAACTCACAACCTTTCTCGCTTGCCGGACTAACAAAATTAGTTTCTTGCCAGAGTAATGGAAGCTGCTGCACGAAGGCGTGAACGGAAAGAGCACGAAGGCAAAGCCCGTCCTCTATTTTGTTTTTATTTTTCCATTGCACTGATTCGTTTGCTTTCTTGTCTGTTATCAGAAGTTGGCGAGTTTGCCAAGGTGGAAACCGCAACAAAACGAGACGGGCGCCTACCCGACCTATGCGTGATTTGTCTGGAGCAAGAATACAACGCTGTCTTTGTCCCGTAAGTTCTGTCGCACCTAAAGATCTTTTTATTTTTATTTTTTTGCTTTCTCTTCTCTCAAACGGGGGAAAGTGAAGTTTTCTTGGAAGAACTTGTGACTGATTCGCGTGTCCTGGATTGTTCGCAGATGCGGTCACATGTGTTGTTGCATATCCTGCTCGGCTCAGCTGCAAAATTGCCCATTGTGTCGGCGTCGGATCGAGCAGATTGTGAAGACTTACAGGCATTAGAGTTTGGTGCGCTCGAACGCGAAAGAAGAACGGAAACGAAGACGAAAAAGAACGAGTTTTTACTATGGTTTGATTTGGAGCTCTTTTGTGTACATACAAACGCCAGTTTGGTTTGAATGTGGAGCGTAAGATTCACGTGTGTGATCCGACGGCCCACATCGAGCTTCCGCAACCCTCCACGCGCTGCGGTACAGTGTACGGCTAGTGGACACGTCAGTGGCGGCGAATATTCGCGTGAGATATACCGCGAGAGAAGACTACCCTATACGATGGCGCTCTTCCTGGAAGGAGAGGCTGTTCGTCGAGTGACGAGGAGGACGAGGAGCTGGCGATGCGCCATCGCCGCGGCGAGATTTCGTGAGTAGCGGGGATTTTCGATGGATCTTGGTTGAATCCGTGAAATGCAGGCGCGAGTGAGGGCCAGGGAATCGCAGGTCGAGTTCCTGGCGATGGAGACGAGCAGTCAGGGGATTCCAGCTCCTCCGGAGGATTTTCGGTGCCCGATATCGCTGGAGGTGATGGCCGAGCCGGTGATCTTGTGGACGGGGCAGACGTATGATCGGCAGTCGATCCAGCGATGGCTCGACTCCGGCCACACGACGTGCCCCAAGACGAAGCAGGAGCTCCACGACGACACACGCCTCATCCCCAACTACGCGCTGCGGAGCTTGATCCAGAGCTGGGCGGCGGCGAATTCGGTGGAGCTCGCCAGTGGCGGCGGCGGCGCTTCTGGCGGCGGTAGCAAGAGCAAGAAGAGCAGCATTTGCAGCAGCGATTCCTCCTCCAATCGCGCAAGGAAGGAGGCCGTGGAGGCGCTGGTCAGGGGGATCCTGGCCGCCAATCCCGCGTCCTTGATCCGGGACTCGGTCCGCGAGCTCCGGATTCTGGCCAAGGAGAGCAGGCCCCAGCGCGCGATGATCTGCGAGGCCGGCGGCGTCGCCAAGCTCCTCGACCTCCTCCTCGGCAAATCCCGGCCAGCCTTCCCCGACCTCCAGAACGAGATTGAGGAGAACGCGGTGGTGGCGCTCCTCAATCTCTGCGCCGACGACGAGAACAAGGTCGGCCTCGTCGCCGAGGGCGCGGTGGACGCCATCCTCCACATCCTCTCGCGCCACCACCACCAGGCATCCATCGACACCAGGGCCAGCGCCGCGCTCGCAATCACCAGCCTCGCCATGGTGGACGTGAACAAGGCCATCATTGGGCGGCATCCGGGCGCAATGCCGGGCCTGGTCCGGCTGCTTAGCTCGGGCAGTCCCCGCGGTAAGAAGGACGCGGCCATCGCGCTCTACAGCCTATGCATGCTACCCGACAACCGGCGCCGCGCGGTAGCCGCCGGCGTCGTGTCCGTGCTGCTGACGGCAGTCGAGAACGACGCGCGGTACTGCGCGGCACACCTCGCGGCACCGGCCGAGGGCGAGGCCGTGCTGGCGCTGCTCGACGTGCTTGCCACGTGTCCGGAAGGGAGGGCGGAGATGAGGCTCCGGCGGGGCGTGGTGCCCGCGTTGGTGAGGGTGATGGGCGCCGCTGGTGACTCGGCGGTACCACTGAGGGCGCGGGAGAGCTGCGCCGCCGTGCTGTATGCCGTGTGCTGCGAGGACGCTACGTGGACGGCCATTGCGCGCGACGCCGGGGCCGCCGCGGTGGCGGGGGAAATGGCGCGCGGACTGAATGGGGAGTGCCGCGCGGCGCGAAAGGCCGCCAGCCTCGTCCAGCTGCTCAGTGCATAGTGAGCGATCTTCTTCCTCCTATCTTAGTCATAGCTAAATTATTTTTGTTGTAACACCATAACTTCTCTTGTTATATAGCCAATGTATGTTGTAAAATGGCCAAAGATCTTGTTTACTCCTGTTTCTTTCGTCTTGGAAGATTTGGATTATCAATCGCCACCGCCCCGGATGGTAGTGTTCTTGACAATCTGGAGAAAAGAATTACACGTCAATACGTATCTATTGTCGACAAGAAATCTAGTCATGCAAAAAACATTGGCATCTGAAGAAGAAAAAGAAGAGATTGCGTAGCGTACCTGTCGGAGCATGTAGTTTTCTCTTTGAAGCGTCGCGTTTTTCTCCTCCAGCTCTGCGTTTCTAGTTTCCAGATCCTTGGCCTTTTGCTCCAGCTCGACCAAGTAAGCCTTTTTGCGCTCTCGGGCCTGTTGTGCCGACACGCGATTCCTCAGCAACCTGTTCAAACCACCAGAAAAAAAAAAGAAAAAAAAAAAAGAGATATTTTTCTTAATATGGACATTTCTGGAACTTCTAAAAAGGAAAATTACCTCTTTAGTCGCTTGCCTTCCTTGTCATTGGAAGAGCCTCCGGATCGCCTTCTCGACGACGAGCTTCCACCGACAAGCTTCTGAGAGCGACCTTTGCTGCTCTTCTCGGGGAGCTCGGGCACTCGTCTGATATCCGAGTCGCTATCGTTGCCTTCGTCTGCAATATTCAATCGATCGCGAGTAAACACGCGAGCAACAGGAGAAAGAAAACGAAAGACCAATGGTCACGCACCGTCTTTCTTCATGTCCGATGAGCCGGAGATGTTCGAAACAGAGGGCCTGTCTGATCCATGCCTCGATGACGAATTCGTCCAGTTGGACTCGCTCGTCCAATTCCTGGTGATGGTGTCGGTGGCGCTGTTTGGTGGCTCCAAAGGTTGGATTTTTCCGTCGATGACGGGCTTCCAAGCCCCTGCAAACGACTTGCAGCCGAAATTGGCAATGCTGGCCGCCGCCTGGCTCTCGTATCCAACAGACTCGATATCACACTCAGCTGAAGAAACCAAAACACGGAAGAAGAGCTCTCATCAGGATCAAGAAACGAATAAAAAAATCTAAACTTCTACTCACCTTTGAGGCTGCTCAAATCATCCACGACCTCGGCATTCTCCGCTGCTTCACCACCAATCGAGCCTTTCTTCCGCGACAAATTCTCCACCCCGCCGGGATTGAAACTCGCAACCGGCCTCTTCACCGCGGACGCCGATCGCATGACTGAATAGATACTCCTCACACCCCCGAGTCACCGCATTGCGATGGAACCAAAGTTCGCCCCTCCCCCAAGCACTAGCTCGATCCGGACACCGGAAGCTCTTGGACCGCTTTCAGCTTCTCGGCTAAGAGAGAGAGATATTTCACGTGACTATAAGCTGTCTTTCACCGGCGGCCCCGGTTCCACCCGGTCACCCGCGACTGCATCGAACTCACCCACGCGGCAGCAACCGGCCGGCACCGGCCGAGACGGTGAAGATCACAGAACCGGCCACGTCGCCCGGCCAATCTAAACCACGCACGTATAGATAGACCACGTAGCCGGCCAGCCCACCGTCGGATCCCCCGGAGCTCGACGGCCCGATGCCGTCCACGAGCCCGAGGACCATCTTTTCATTTCCTTCGCTCGCAGCGCCAAAGCTCTTAGACGGTTTTGCTGTCGCCATCCTCAAACACGAAGAGATCGTCACTGCGGAAAGCCGACTCGTCTAAAGTTGTGCTCGCCGATGCATTTGCCCGCGCTGATAGTGCTGTTGCCACTTAAAAGAATCTCGTCCTTTTCCTCCTTTACTTTGTGTCGCCAAACTTCGCCGCCCACTGTACCAGATGATCTTTCGCTGCGAAGAGAGTGGCCAGACTTCTCCTTGCCGATGATTAGCTAGTCACTGTTCTTTGTTCTTGTCCTTCCCGTACTACGGCAGAAGCAATCCGGTAACGGTAGATTTCTCCCGGTGAAGAGGCTTGAGCTGTGAACTTCCCACATTCGCTGAGCGAGCTCGGCACCGCTAAGTCCCGACGATACTGAGGTTGCGAAAGCTTGCCTGTTGAGTACCAGCGTCTTGCCACTGCCGTGCATTGCTCGCATTGCCACCACCATCTTGTCCATGTTTCCGAAGTAAGTAGCCACGTAAATGTCGCTGTGGACGGCTACGTAGTAGTCCAATGCCGCTTTGCTGTTGCCGTGCAAGCCTTTCAGAGCGTCGGCGCCGAGGATGGCGAGCTTCCGATATATGTTGGGGTATACTCTGGAAAAGGCCGTCTCCTCGAGGAGGCCAGAGCCGGAGGCGAGATAGATTGGCATGGTGGTGGGAACTCTGAGTGCCTGGAGGACGAACGCAGCTTCTCCGGGAGTAAGCGGACACTTTCCCCTGTTTCTCCATGATTCCGCGAGGCTGCCGGTGAAAGGTGCTTTGTTGTCGCGAGCGGCTTCGATGGCGTCTAGCGAGGCCTTCGAGAGGTTGGAATACGTGCACCTGCTGTACGCGATCATGTCCGGCTCGAATCTCAAATGGAGTGCTAGAAACGGACGGGGAATCGCGTCCAAGACCGTTTGAGCTGTGTTCTCAAGACGCTGCACGAGACGGAGAGCTTTATAGCAAGCTTGACACCGTGACGCTTTGGCCCATAGTGGATACCTGCATGCATATACGGGAAGAAGTTGAAGCCTCTCGAGAAGAAATAAAAGAGAAAACCACTCACCTGTCCGATCTTTGGCTTGCCGCGGGTCGAATGATTACTACTTTCTCTTTGAGTAACACGGGCAAAACAGCCTCAACGTAATCAAAGAGCTTCTTTTTCTGGCAGTCGATCAGCACCGTTTTCTTGGAAGCGTAAGGGGGAGGAAGCTCCTTTACAACGCGAACGTAACCCTTCATAGTTTCGATAAAAAAATCCGCATCGAAAATGTCAGAAAAGCCACTAAACCATCACACAGTCAGTCTTGAATAGAGATTGATTGTCTGAAAGAGAGAAACGCTAGAAAAACTATGAGTCTTCGTTGCTTTGAGTAGCATACACACCTTGAATCGTTCCAATACGGAGTTCCTTCAAATTGAGGTAGCAGCAGTGTCGCGTTTAGAAGACGTGCAACTCCAACACCATCGCAAAACTGCACGAAACTCGTGAGCTCTCAACACGCATTGAAACTGTGACACTTACATCCCTTCGCATTTGATTGAGGCCCCCATTGCAATCCACAATAATGTAGCCATTGCTCACACCGGGAAGAGCTGCAAGAAAAATCCATCCATTCAACCAAACTTGCACAATCTCACAATCCTACCATGCTGCAGATCATTCCACCACGAGCATTGCTCGAAATCACGCCTACCACTCGGATCACTCCACCAGATCTGATTGTAGGACACTCCGCTGAGCCTACCGACACGCAGGAGATCAAAAGATTTCTTGCTCACAAAGCATGCGCATTTCACTTACATCCTGGATCTCGGAAGCGATCGCAGCGAAGCGATCAAGACGAGCAGCGAGAAGAATCCCGCCACGAGCAGCCCTCGCTTCATTGGAGAAATGGAAAATATTTTTAGGGCTTACAAGAAAGTATAGAACTCGAATCGAACACACGAAGGTTTTTCGGCCGGACAGGATCGACGGCTGAGAAAAACGCAGTGACATAACAGGGCAGATCCTAGCCGTTGGATGCTGACGGGTTTGGTTGACGGCTGGCCTTTGCATTTTGACGGGCAAGCGGCCAGTAGAAGAAACACACGACTGGAAGAAAAGGAGCTCCATTTCCCAAGGATCATATGGCCGGGCAGCGATCCAGGTAACAGATCACGCTCGGCGGCGCCGGCGGCGGGGCTAGGGCGCTGATCCAGCGCTGCGTTCGCTCGATCTGACGCTTTAGGGTAGGAAATCATGGCGGAGAGCAGGAATTCGACGATCCAGTGGAATGCCAGCGTCGTAATCCTTCGCACCAGGTTGAAGTGAGCCATGGAATCACGGCCGCGAGCGTTGGAATGGCTGCCGTGATGCCCTCTATGGCGATCGCGCTTCAAGACGCCCCTGCCAGAGCTTCCGCGATGTCGGCAAGATCTAACAAAAAGCAAGATTTGCACGCCGCCGGGAGGCGCCGGGTGAGTGATTCGTCCAAATTTCTTGTGGAAGTTTTGATCTTTGTTTCTTCTTTTTCCTTCTCTCAGCTGGAGCAATTCAAGAAGAACAAGCGTGAGAAAGCTACCAAGCAAGCTTCTGAAGAACAGCCTTCCACTTTCGAAGCTCTAGAACCGGTCGATTCAAATGGGGATATCTACACCGCGGCTTTTCCACCGGCGGCTGGCCAGGATCAACACTCTCAGATTCTTCCGAGCGTCCAAACGGATTTTCCGAGCGTTCTTCCTCCAGATCAATTCGAGCCACCTCCAGCTGAGAACTCCGACCCACCGAGCTACGCCACCACCTTTGGGAATTCCAACTTCCACTCCACTGACCTTGTACACTCGACCGTGGATGCTCGACACGCCACCATCGACCAACTTCCACACCCAACGACCGATCCTCTCCCACACTCCACCATTGCTCTTCCACTGGAGAGTGAAGAAGACTCGAGGTATAAGAAAACTTTTTACAGTGACCACTTGGAAAAGGAAAAGCCGGGAACGAACATTGCCGAGAGTGAACAACGGCCAGCAACTCTATTCCAACCGTCGTCAAATTTTGCCGCTGCGAAACAAAAGCCACCTCGTTCGCACTCCTCGGACTCTCTCTTTCGACCTCTTCGTGCTGCTGTGCCCGAAGTAACGAATGGTGATGCGGCTGTCAAGTCCACGCCAGTGACAAGACATCACATAGACGAGCCACGGTACGAGGCACAAAGACCACTAGCGCCTTTTGCGAATGATGAGACACCTTTGAGTTCCTCCCGCAAAGATGACTTCGCTGCATTGGAACAGGTAAGAGAAATGGTTCTTCCGCGATTGCTATTGACTGAAATGCATTTGTTTTTACAGCACATTGAGGACTTGACGCAGGAGAAGTTTTCTTTGCTACGCGGTCTAGACAAGGCTAAGGCGTTGGTGGAGACACTGACTCAAGCCAACTCTGCTCTCACGGAGGATTATAATCAGCAGGTTGTTTCAATCATCCTCAAACAGCTATTCTTGATTTTATCTTGCTGCATCGAGATTAGCTGTTTGCTATCCAGTGTGATAATAGTGTCGGTTCAGTGCTTTGCAGGGTGCCAAAGTAAACGAATTGAAAGATGAACTTGCAAGATTTCAGCAAGAGTTTCGCTCGCAAGAGGTATGCATGTACCGAACACATGTTAGCAAAGTTACACACCCTGTGTTATTGTTGCAGGCCGTGCTTAAAAATCTAAAGGCGGAGAGGGACAGAGCAGTTCAGGAGAGCACCTCAGCAGTTGAACGTTCTCGAGGTTTCGCTGCAGAGATTGTTGGCCTTGAGGAGAAGGTCAGCTCGTTTACATGTTTCATTTTGATTCCGATCGTCAGTCATTTTGTTGTACAGATTTTGAAAACTCGATCGCAAGAGCTAAAGTCGCAAAAAGAAGTCCAGTCTTTACGTGCGGAAGTTGAATCATGCAGGTCAGCTTTGCAATTGCATTTCAGTTCCTTTGTTTTGATCAAAATACTTTAATTTTTGCAGAAGGCAGATTCTATCAATAGAAAAGGATCGCCTTAATGCCATTTCTTTGAATGACGCATTGCAGGAAGGTTTGTCTCGATCACGTGTTACTTGTGTGATGGCTGACTGGCTATATTTCAGAAAAGAAGCTCCTGCTGTCTCGCATTCGTGAAGCGGCAGATAAAACGTATCCTATCAAGTCAGCATCCACAGAAGACGCTTCAACCTCCACCGACGATCTCGGTAATTATTTCTGCAAGATTTGGCTAGTATATTGTCTCCGATTGTTTCTTCTTGCAGTTATAGAGCGCGAGCCTCAGGCATCGGATTCAGATCAAGAGCCGTCCGTCTTCGCGTATCCAACCTCACTGCCTGAAGACCAGTTGGGAATTATAGAAAGTATCAATGCTCTAGTAACAGAGGTACGCCAAAAAGATTTCTCCTCGCTGGTAAAACATGGTTTCTTTTTCTTTTTAATAGTTGGGAGAAGAAAAGGAGGCACTCTTAAGATTACTCAGGAATGAATCGAATGCGGTCACTCAACTAAAGGTGTAACTAGTGGATACTGTTTCTTGCTGTCTAATCAAAATCGGTGCTGGTGTTGCAGGTTGAGAACGCCGAGTTGATGCAAAAATTAGAGAGCCAAACGCAGCAACTGGAGCTCGCAGTGGCCCAAAGCATGGCTCGCTCTGCACCTTTGGTGTCGCCTATAGCTTCTCACCAAAGTAACGAGGAACTGGATTACATTGACGAGGGAGACGAGGTGAGAGCTTTACACACACAAAGTTCATCTTCTAAAGTCTCTCTTTTTGTTTTGTTTTCTCCCCTATTTCCTTAGGTTGTTGATCGTGTACTGGGCTGGATAATGAAACTTTTCCCGGGCTCTGGCTCCTCTAGGCGTGGCGGAAGCAAGCATTTGTGAAGAGAGCTAAGTTGATTCTTTCCAATAATTTGATTGGTTTTGCGTCCAGATAATAAACTGGAAACTAGTTTCTATTATCTCTTCAGGAAATCAAGCGTTTTTAAGAGGTACGATTTAAGAGAACTCAAGATAAACATGATCTATAGATTGCTTGAAGTTTCCAGTGAAAGCCCAATACCTCCACCCGTACCATCCACTGGTTTTGAAGGAAGCGAACCCATTGAAAGATACAACTTGAAAGCACTGGAGGCTCTCTTCAAAGAAGCTTGTGCTTGGAGTTGGATCTTTGATTTCCCATTCTTGAAACTCCAACTTCACAAGAGCTGGAAGCACTGCAATTAATTTCCCTTTTGAGAGTGAAAGTTGCTCTTGAGCACTTTTTTGGGTGGCACCTTTGGCACGTCGAGAAGCAGATTCAAATAAAGAATGTTCTGAAATAAATTCAGGTTAGGGTTGTAAATGTACTTACCTGATCAACAAGACGACTATAACAACAGCTAACTACAACTTCCAGCCAGGAGTCACACGACAAATCCAAGAGTGTAGATCCAAACAAACAAAACGCTATCGCTCGGTGCATGCATCCTGTGTTTTACTGCCGGATCAATCGCCCTCAAAGCACCACCAGCGCGATCAGAGAGTTCACCACGTCTCCAATCAAAGGCCTGTAGCTTGGTTCTATAGAACAGCAGCAGCAGCGACCTACACACGGATCTTGCATTAGAATCATCAAGTCAGCCAGCACTGGCAACAAACAAACCAAAACCGAAAGAAGACGAAGAGGAAGAGGAAGGGCACTTACTTGGAAGAGTTGCTTCAAGTTGACAGTATCCTTGAACGCAGCATCCACAATGAGGGTAAACCTGGTGTGGTCACTCAGATATATTGGTGCAAACAGCACCAATTGGTGGTGATCCTATCTACGCTCTCTTTACCATGGGTGGAGCTTGTTTGAAGATGCAGCAGGAATGTTTGCATTTATGGGAGCACTATTGATTCTCTCTGGACAAGGTTGCAATCTTTCCACTTTTCATTTTTGTCTTGGATTTGTAGAACTATTAACTTGGCTCTCTTTGCTTCAGGAGTTTCTTCGCAGCAAAGCATATCCATTGCTCACTGGCTGTGCACAGTTTCTCTTCCATTGGCTCACCAGAGATAACCACGGAATGCTCGTGACTAATCCCTCGACATCTCCTGTGTTTATAGTGCCAGATGGAAAACAGGCATCAGTGAGCTACACAAGCGCTATGGATATGGCGAATGAAAAATAAAAAAGTGAAAATTTTTTTACGTGCTTTGAAATTCAATGAAAAGGACAAAATGTATGAAAGAAAACAAATTATTTTCTTTTCAAAGCGAGTATTTATCAGTGTTAAACACTTCGCCCTTGATCGCGTCCTTCTTTCCTTCTTGAGCTTTTGTTGGAGGGAGCGTATCTGTGAGAATTCTCCCCGTGAATCTCCTTCTTCGAAAGCGAGCTACCAGGATCGACGAGCACTTTTTCCAGAACTGCCATAGCCATCCCTGCCAAGAGGCAAGACAAGATCTTAACAGGATGAAACTCAAAGAAAGTAAAAAAGAGCTCTGAACGAAAACTTGGGACCTGTGATTGTGGGGGGGCCTGGGAGGGTGGAACTCCTTCAACCTGCAAAGCAAACACTTGCACACGGCTGTTAGTACCCGGCGGCCAGCGCCGCTTTATTTTGGCCCATGATCTGGGCCTTACCGCGCCAGAGAGCATGGACCGCATGCACAAAAACTAAAAAGAAAAAAAGAAATCAATCAAGAGTTACCGAATGCAGCGGCTGTTTAGCGCACTGGATGAGGCTTTCGTCCTGACCGCTGTCGCCTTTGTTGTGTCGGGTGTCCCGAACACCTGCCAGAAGCGCAAAGTCTCGTCGCCAGCGGCCGATGCCACAGTATAACCATCGGGACTCTGCAAATACAAAGGTATGTCTCAAGCACTTTCCTAAGAAAGAAAGGGAGCAGACCTGTGCCATATGCAGGACCCTCGAGGTGTGCCCGGTCAGCTCCGCCATCTTCACCATCGACGGGTACTTCCAGAGAATGAGCTGGTTCTGGCTGAAGCCGTGAGAGCTCAGAAGCTCCCTCTCGTGCTTGCTCCACTGCAATGCGCACACCTGAGAGGCCGTGTCCACGCTTTGGATGCAAGCTCCAGTGTGCGTGTTCCAGAACTTGATGCACCGGTCCGCGGTACCTCCTCCGGAAGCCAAGAGATTGCTCTGGAAGGGACACCACGCCAGCGCTTTCACCGCTGCCTGATGCTCGTCGAGACGGTGGAGATAAGTGCTGTTTCCTCGTGAGGCGGCCGCGGCGGCATCCCAGACGTAGAGAAGGTTGTCATTGCCACCACTCGCTAGCTGCTGTCCGGAGGGTGACCACTTAAGACCGCAAACCTCCTGCTGGTGTGCCGCCATCTTGCCAGTGACATGCTCGCGAATCCTCACGTCGTGGTTGAAGATGACGTTGTCGCGACCGCCGGTGCTGAGGATGGGCCCGTTCCAAGCAAGACTTCCAACTCGGGCGGTATGAGCCTTGAGAGATCTCACCTGCATGAACAAACCGTTTGGTGAGTACAAATGCTTCCACTCTATACGTGAATCAATCACACGCAAGTAAAGAAGGCAAGATCTACAGAAAACGAGCAACGAAGAGTACCTGGCGTAGAGAAAACGCATCCCAGAGTTGAACGTCCGCGTTGTTTAACCCGACCGAGATGTGCTTGCCATCCGGCGCCCAGGAAACGCTGGTGACGGGACCATCATCCTCGCTTACTTGCATGAGCTCCTCGATACCACCGGTGGTAGCGTTCCAGAGATAGACAGTGTGTCCCAAAGCAACAGCGAGTATGTTGTTCGTTCCCCAGTCCAAAAGGTTGAGATAATAGTCGTCTAGAATCTCTGGCGCATCGAGAGTTCTCTCGGGAGCCTGGAAAGGGTAATTGGATCAGCGGAAAAAAAGAAAACGATCGAACAAAGAAATCGATGGAAGCTTACCTGAGGGATCTGTCTAAACATCCTCCGGGGCTTGGACGCGCCTGGAGCAGTGTTCTCGGAGTAGAGCAGCCTCGATTCTCTCTCAAACCCCTCTGGTGGCGGCGGCGGCTTGCTCTTGAAGGCGAGGATCCGGCTCTTCTTCTGGAAAATATTGGCGTCGCGCAAGAGATTCTCGGCCAGTTGCTTCTTGTACTCTTCCTGGGAGCAGTCGGATCGAAGCGGCTGCTGCTGGAGCTGCGAATTCTCCTTTCCAAGAACAAGCATGTTGGCGACGTCGAAATTCATGGCGCTGCGATCCGGAATGAATCGATCGATCTGTGGCAGCTTCTTTGCGGGCGTTGCAGCCGGATCTTTGCCGCCGTTGGAGCTGATCAGGGCGGCCATTTTCCTGCAAAACAGAACACAACAAACGCTACCGACGAGAGAGGAGAGATCTAAGCTCTACAAGAATGCACGCAATCAAACTAATCGAAACACTGGCCGATGAATCGCTTTGCGTCTTCCCGAGATCGCTGGACAATCACTTGCTTTGAGTCGCTTCGAGAGTGATTTTAGGGCTCTTCACAGGCGATGTATACAAAGGCTCCAACGGCACAATTTTCTGGCGGCGATCATCCCAACCGTGAGATATCTCTACGCTCATCACAGCCGTCTATTTAGATGTTTACAAACAAACAAAGGGTTGATTTAAGACCTATTTAAATAGGAAGGGTCAAATACTGTTCTAGGGCACCACGACCTAGAGCAAACCATCCTTTCGCCTTTATAGGATTCGAGGCTTAATATAGCGATGGTCACACCCGCATCAAAGTCAACCGTTGACCAAGCTCCTTGTCATGCTTGACGAGCCTGATGTGAAGCCTGGCACGTCATGGCTGGGTCTCGGATCGTCTTCCTTTTCTCGTCCAAAGGGAAGAGGCCGGAAGTAGGGAGTTGCACAAAGGGTATTTTCTTAACGTGGAAGGCGTGTAATGTATAATCCAGTCCTTGATTGCATTCAAGCCTTTTGAGCCGAATCTAGATTCTACAAGGGTTGTCTCTAGGATACTCGTCAGGTGGTAGTGGCTGTTTACAACGTCCAGGTTACAAGTCCCGGGATTGTGCTTGCCGAAGGTGTTCTCATGTACTTCTGTGGTCCTGGTAGTAGCGTCGTGATGGTATATGACATCGACAAATGCTGCTGCTTCTGCCAGAAACTCTAGATAAACTAAGGAATAAGTAGAAATCGATTTGCTAGTTTGGAATGTTACTGAATAGAGGATATTAATCAATCAGGGAGTATTGAAATAAAGCCAAGACCTTAATACAGCTTTCCAGTAGTGGCGATCTTTCCTCTGAACAGAGCAATAGTGAGAAAATTCTAGAACTAGAGCTCTAAAACGTGATGTTAAACACGTCAAACTTTCATAAGGAAGATCAAGTAAACTTTTCTGTACTAATATCTAAGTATATTCTAGAATATTTTTCAATTCTATGGTTGTGATTTTCTAAACTTTTCTCTCAATTCACGTTTTTTATCACTAATGTTTAAATTAATCAGTAAGAAGACATGCATAGCAAAGTCTTGTGAAAGATAGTTTAATGGTGGCTGCTTCCGCAGTAGAATTCGGGGTTCATGGCTTGTATGGCTTGGTGCAGCCCTAGCATCATGTTGGCTGCGGGAGCCTCACAGTTTGATCACATTGGCTCACTCAAGAGCCTTACTTCTGTATTATCTTCTTCTTCAAAGTTATTGATTTGTGTGGGTGTTTTAGAAGTTGCCAAAGATCCTGGAGTCATTAAGGTTTGTGGTCCCAACTAAGGACGTGCTGGCCATAATTCACAAGCTAGACAAGAGATATGATCCCGGGGAGCCACTGAAATGCTATGCACTGCAAAGAAAACAATAAATCCTTCTTCCCAAGTATAGTCCTCTTCTCCATTCAGGGGAAATGCATAATGCACTCTCTTAGGTGGCTACCCCTTTGCCACGCTCCCTCCGTGGCACTCCATGTCACGCCAGCCCTAAATATTTAAAGACTAAATTTAAATTAGTAACGTTAAATTTTAATTTTGTCATTAGCCAGTGAATGA